GTTAGTTTCGTTTTAATCCTGGTTGGTGTGATATTAACTTTTGATGTTATCAATGCCACTGCCGTGTGGGCAGAGATGAATGAATTCATTATTTGCATGGAAACAAAATCAGACCCGATAACAGTAAATAATGTGTAAGTTCTAGGTCATAATTTCTAAGTTTTACTTGTCATTTCAAGGGAAAGCTGGATCAAGATAAGACATCAAATGGCCATTTGTCTTGGCCATATCTCTAGGACACTTTACACTAAAGTTTGGCTCAGGAACATGATATGTTTTTAAGTCAGAGGTATCTATATGGAACGTGTGTGTTTATTAATTTGACATTACAATTTATCAACACATTAATTAAATATGTTTTTGAGCGAGGGAATTAATGAGAAACATTCAAGACACATGTTGGGTTCTTCCCCTGTGACATCCTAATGTGTTTTACATCTGTTATAAACCAGGAATTCGGGTGACATAAATAACATATCGTTTAGAAGTAAATCCTGTAACATATATAGATTTTTAGACATTTTTATGTAATTTCCTTTAACTTAAATGTTACATTTTTAAGTGTTATGGGATGATAGATAAACGAAAGCAGGAAATTTATGTCAAAAAGGGATTTTTTTCAAGTTAAATGGTTGAATGGAAATTATCTTGATTCTCTCCTTTCAAGTTTTAAGGCACGTGTATGTTTTCCATAAAGACCTCAAATATGTATCATTCCAGTGCACTTTTATTCAGTTTTAAGTGTTGAAGTACATGTAGTTTTGTAAATGTCCATTGCCAAAATCCGAACATTCTTATGTTGATGTATATCCATGAATTGTAATAAACTGGTTTATATGATGAAATGTGCCAATACCAAGATATTCATATATACAACATGTTTTATTAAAATTTCCTTAAAGTTTAATTGATAATTTACAACACCATACATAATTTACAACATTGGTCTATGACAGCATATTATACAGCACCCAGGTATAACTCTAATGCCCCTTAAAAATGCACCAACTGGAAATACCACACATAATTGACCTCTTTCTGTAAACAACACCCTATATAACACCATTATATTTAATTTCCTGTATGATACACAACACTATATATAACACCATTACAATTAATTTCCTGTATGATACACAACACCCTACATAACACCATTACATTTAATTTCCTGTATGATACACAACACCCTACATAACACCATTACATTTAATTTCCTGTATGATAAACAACACCCTATATAACACCATTACAATTAATTTCCTGTATGATAAACAACACCCTATATAACACCATTACAATTAATTTCCTGTATGATACACAACACCCTACATAACACCATTACATTTAATTTCCTGTATGATACACAACACTATATAACACCATTACATTTAATTTCCTGTATGATACACAACACTATATAACACCATTACATTTAATTTCCTGTATGATACACAACACCCTACATAACACCATTACAATTAATTTCCTGTATGATACACAACACCCTACATAACACCATTACATTTAATTTCCTGTATGATACACAACACCCTACATAACACCATTACATTTAATTTCCTGTATGATACACAACACCCTACATAACACCATTACATTTAATTTCCTGTTTGATACACAACTACCTACATAACACCATTACATTTAATTTCCTGTTTGATACACAACACTATATATAACACCATTACATTTTATTTCTTGTATGATACACAACACTATATATAACACCATTACATTTAATTTCCTGTTTGATACACAACACTATATATAACACCATTACATTTAATTTCCTGTTTGATACACAACACTATATATAACACCATTACATTTAATTTCCTGTTTGATACACAACACTATATATAACACCATTACATTTAATTTCCTGTTTGATACACAACACTATATATAACACCATTACATTTAATTTCCTGTTTGATACACAACACCCTACATAACACCATTACAATTAATTTCCTGTATGATACACAACTACCTATATAACACCATTACATTTTATTTCTTGTATGATACACAACACATTGTATAATTTACAAGCTAAGACACTCTATATACACTCTATAATAAAAATGGCCATTCTTATGAGGTTTTATAGTTTTCTGTATCAATGTATGAATATTTCCCTTCAGCAAAACGACATAACTTGTAAACAATGAGCAGTGGCGCTCACTTCTGTGGTGAATAACAGATTGTTTAGATAACGATGAATAAAGTGGAACGAACATTTTGTTATAAAATTGTTCTTGTATTTATCTATTTGTTTTTCTTTACATTTTCACTACCTTTTGTAAGTTTTCAACTTTTACTGAAAAGTAATTCGAAATATTATAATGTGTGACATTTTCTATAGAATCACCCTACAGGTGATTATCATTATCGACTTTGTTGTCCACCTGTAAGTTTCTTTTGTCTACATACATCATCAAACGACCCTTTGAAAAGTACATGGACTTAGGATAATCCATTAGGGTAACGATAATAGAACTTGACAACCAACTCATTATACAACACACTAGATTTTACAAAGTGACAAACAAGTAAATTGTTTCAGTAACAGAATACTGTACACAAGAACATGGTATTCATATAACGTCTGAAACTGTACCAGAATTTCACAGTAAGATATTCATTCTTTGACTGTTGTCAGATTGGATTTCATCCTCCTAATATTTCTGACCCTCCCCGACGTGTTTTTCTTTAGCATTTCCAAATTTCTAAGTCACTCACAGCAAGTCAAAAGTGGTGCCATGCTTTGGGTCTGTTCGTCTTTTCTCTAACCAGGAATGCACTGCTTTGTTACCATCAACGGTGAACTGCTGTGTATTATTAGTTATATGGATAGGTACTGTCGGTCTAAGAATGTAGAGGATAGGTATGATTTATAGGTGGTGAAACGAACTTTTCCAACCCAAAGTGGATAAGCTATTTAAAATTGACACATTTTAAACTTTCCTTATCCCTGAAAAAAACTCGAAGGAACTGATTACGAATAGCAATAATGATGATGGTAATACATCTTCTTTAGGCGAAGCGACGTATTCAGTAATGTCGTCGGCGACTTTAAAGACTTCGTCTATAACGTCACCCTACTACCGTCTATAGAAATAAAGGTGGTCAGCACGTGACGGCAATTACCCAATTAAATATGTAGAATTTATTCCAGGTTGAAATAAAGATTTGTGAAATGTCAATAATGTATATCTACCACAACGAATAAAAAATCATAGTTGTTAAAAACATATTTCATTGACGGAAAGAAAACATTACCAAATCATTTAATCACATGAAATGAACATAGCTAAAATCAGGATTATAGAAACTAATATATAAATATTGGATAACACTTTTCGTTACCGCATTTATGATAAATCATTTCAGAAATTGAGTTTTGTTAGCTGATTCAGTTGTATACATATCTAGGTTTATTAAGGATTTCTGACGTCCGAAACATCCAACAAAACAAATAAAACCATCAAAATTTACCCTGGGCTGCTGCAAATCGAAATCTGTTGTGAACAAAGTTCTTTTAAATGTAAAATTTGTTCGTTATAACGGTACATTCGTAATGAAACATTTAATTTACATACTTTAGTTTAAGACTATAAGTGTTTGGTTTCTTACTTTAAGAAAAATATGTATCATAAGATTTATCCTTAATTATCTAGATTTTGACTTTTATTATTCGCTCACTTTGTTTTTATCCTTGTTCGCCTCGTAGGATAAAAAATAGGTCCCTATCCTCACTGACTGAACAGCTGTATGATAAGATTTAAATAATTATTATGTACTGCTGTGTCTAATTTTAATTTGTGTTAAAAGGTGCTATTCAATTATGTGTCATTTTCAAACGCTAGGCGCTTATAAACATCTATCATATATTAAAAATTAAACGAAATACCAGACGTGAATACTTCCTTTTAATACAAATAGAGTTCGACATTTTGTTTGGGAATTATTCCAAAGTTATAGTTCATATTTGTCAGTTTACGAAGCTAGTGAATCTCCATAACAGTCCTTTTAAATCCTATCATATCTAAGTATTGATACATTAGGATTATCAAACTAAGCGAAGTTGAACTGAAACCGCTCAAGGATTATAGTATCATAATTAAATTGAATTAAATGATTAGATAAAGAAGAAAGCACGCCCCTATTTTCCCACTTTAGTGGAAATATTTCAAAAACAGTCGCATTCGAAGGAAATAACTACTAGTATACGTCATCTGTTAAAATACATGTTTCATAGTCGGAAAGAAAAAAATGTGTAATGTTTTTAAATTGTCGGAACAGTATACTGTTATCGTCAATAGATATAAGACAATTAACTTGACTTCTCAAAAAAACTTTTGTAGAAAAGAGGAAAACTATACCAGTTGGATCCTAAATGAGATTTAGTTTTCGATTTCAGTCCTATGAGAATGACATGGGTTGTTTAAAGGAAACATTTATCTGTGATGTGTACAAAAGAACATTTACTGATACTGAAACATACAAACACATGCAATATTTCCTATTACAATGAAATGCTACGATTGAAGCTACCAGCGATCACGAGAATTTTAGTACATACATTTCCACTCGGAAAGTGTGACGCGACACGCTATTAAAAGAAAATTGAACGTAAATAACCTTCGTGATTTGACTATTAATGTATATGGTTCCAATCGTAAAAAACCTATATATCACTATACTCTAGTTATTGGAGTTGAAACCTTATTTCCAAGGAACAGGTTATTCACTTAACTGATAGCATCTGACTCCTACTGTTAGGGCTACATTGAAATATCATCAATTCAAAATTGTTACCAACCCATTCGAAAGATATAACACAATATATTTGTTTTCAAACACTACAAGTCAGCGTCGTAAAGCAGCAAAAAAAAAAAATAGGTACTATAGAGAACATTTAACTTTCACAATGAAAAGTTCAGTTATATATCACTAACGAAATATATACTTACCTGAAATGTGTAAAAATCGGTCTTGTTTTGATGAAAAAGTCGGAAATTATTCCAAGAGAATTCACGCTTCAAGATATCACACATGGTTGGTTTGTAGTATTAATTACTAACTAGATCATATGTAACTGTCGGCGTGCTGCGCCGGAGACTCAACCCAAGGGATCTAGTCACGGGTAGTCAATGGCAAGATACGGCGCCTTAAAAAGGGGATGCAACTCATTCATCATATGAGTTCGCTTACAATAAAACTGGTACGATAAAATGGAGTTACAACTGACGGCGATATCTTTTGCCAAACAGGTAGTCAATTAACAGGTGAGATATATGTATTCATAGCCCACGTGGTGTGTTTCTGAATGAGTTAAATTTACGCCACGATACTGTTCCACGTGTGTGAGATGTTTCTGCAAATAGGGAGAGGTGTGGAGGTTATCAGGACAGGTGTGGTCTCACAGGTAGACACATGATATCAGGTGAGTTTAAAGTGGGACAGAGTAACTGTGATAAGAGCCTCTTTAGTATGCACCATATCACCATACTGAAGTAGGTCTAGATGCACAGTTTACGACGTGTATTTCTGGCGCGATCATTTTATTTTCTTTTATGACTATTTTTTTAATCTTATTTTTATTACTGGTGATTTCTCTTTATATTTGCCTTTTATACTTTTCACGATTAGCCAACTTCATGATACTATAATGTAACTAGGATTATTTTTAAAGCAGAATATATAACTGAGGACACGCAATAAGCAATAAAAATTCTTAATTTCATGAAATGCATGTTTTAATACATCTCAAAATGTAATTATAATGATGAAAAGTGTACAAAGAAGATTATAGACGTTTCTTACTATTGATCTGGAACTACTGTGGGACTATCTTGATTATACTAAATACTTAAATTAGGAATGCTTAACCAATTAGCATTTACATAATTTTATCGGAAACTGAAATGACCATACAGGAACAATTGATAAGATATATTTACAATTAGCGTAACTTATAAATTAAATAAACATTATTGCTTGTAATGTATATACATTATGACATTTTTCCACAACAATTATAGTCTAACGTAGCTTTTATAACCTAATTCCTTGTTTACATAGCACTTTAACATCCACGAACTCGAGAACAGTCTAGGTTACCCTTAACACGTAAAGTATTGATCAACAGAACAACATAAGTAATGAGGATAATCAAAATCCAACTCTAAGCAACCTAACTTATAATCCCGAAGGATTATTCATGTGCATTAGACTGCGACCGTAATAGGAGGGATGGGTGAGAGGCAAAAGCAGATAAACATTGCGTTTCATTTATATGCACTTATGTAATACATATGGAAAAGATTAATATGTTATTTTAGTGAAACGTAGAAACGTCTGTATTTAAATAGGAGGCGCAGTGACAGTTATGGTATTTACACATTTTCTAAAGTAGAACCATCTGTGGTTGCTTTAATCCCAATATTAATACAAATAGAAGAATATTGTGTTATATTTATGAAAGCACTCTGAAGCCATAACTGCATGATTTAAAATAACGATGCTTTTTAACAATGAAGATAACAATACATAAACAGATTGTACAAAAGGCTCGGTAATTACCTGTAAACAGTGTAATAAACACAGTATATATGTAAAAATAAACAACGAGAAATCATAAGGTTATTTTCTCTTTATTCTTTGTTACCAACCCGGTTACTATCTTAAGAGCGTCATGCTACCGCAAATTTCATGAGAGTAATCATCCCCGACATTTTGTTACAAAACACTCGACATTCTAAGACGATATTACTTGTGAGGATTTAGATTTACAGTTTGGATCTCGTCCATGAAACATAATTTTACAAATGCAACGTTCCGAGCTAGTCTTGACATCCAGGTACTTTACTTGTAAATATCTCCTTTGTCTCCATTTCCCATAGCTTCGACTGTTTTAAGAAAAGTTCATTGTTTTGGCTGATTTTGTTTTTCTATAAAGCCTTAAAGATTTTCTTATCTTTCTAAATATCCAATGTTTAAACTTTGGTGCTGATTGTTTGAAAGGTTAGATTTAACTTATTCAAAAGAAAAAAAAATGATATACTGCTACACTGTTATTCCTATACAGAATATGTGCAACAGGAAACAATTCATTTTCATACCATATTTGGGTTTTTTCCTGAACGGCAGACATTCTTTATTTTGGCAGCAACCCCTATAAAAATCGTCCTTCTTCAAGAGGTATTTTATGATACTTGGATTTTGAGAAAAAACAAATCATAATGTAAAAATGCTAAATTTTCATTTGATTTAATAAGTTTAAATCAGCATAGCAACCAAACAATGAAAATTTTGAAAAATGGCTTAAATCTTTTAGTTCACTAAACTTTTTATAAAGACCTTATGCTTGGATAGAGAAATTTCGATGATATTTACATGGTTTAAAAAGTAGGGGTCACTGTGTTTTATTTTTTTGGAATTAACGAAATTTAATTTGTGATTTGTGGTGATTATTCCTGCAAAAATAGTTAGAATCTACCGAAGTCTTCATTATTTGTACTTAATTAAGAGAAAACATTGAAATTGTTGACGCTATTGACCGAATCACGTCGATAACTACGCCGTCAAAATATATAGTCCGTCAGTTATATTTCTTCAAAACGTTATATAAAGCTCATTTTCAGTTTATAAGTTCAAGTGTGGATAAAAATAAGTCCAAGATAATATATTGGAATGCATTATATTAAATAATATCCTAGTTCGCTTGGTAATTTTAGTTTCATTTTGAATTATTTCAAATAATATCAAACTGATGATTATATTTTACTGTGTGGGAAAAACAAAGTAAGCTTCGGAATAAGCAAACCGATTAAAGCAATCGAGGTGCATAGTGCACACCACAGTAGATTATCATTATCATTATTGTGCGTTTAACTATCAACTGAAGTTGTGGAATGGTTCCGTTTGTCCTGTGTTATGGTGTAAACTATTCCTTAGGTTAACGTGAAGGGAGACAATTCAAATGTATGCAATGTAAACACAGTTGATGGTATCACAGACATATTTTACAGTAATTAGAAGTGACAATTATAATTAGGGAAAAAAGAGACTTACAGATCTACAAACAGAGCTAACGGTAATGTATGAAAGACACCTGCGTTGTGATGGACCCAACATTTGGGTAGAATCCCGCGTTTGAGCCCTGAATTCAGAGAAAACAGATATACGCTGGATGACAATGGTGGTATACTGAATGATTAGCAATATCAACCAACAATACAGTCTACCTTGGTGGTCTACAAAATGTAAAGGTATAGATCACCTCATTTTCGTACTGATACGTGGAAATCATGATGTTTTGACATTTATTTCTATCAGCAGGCTAAGTAATCTCCAGTTTACAACAGTCATATACAAAAATACCAGTTCAATGGTGCTTTTAAGATAATTTTAATCACGTTTGGTATTAGAGTAAATGTATAAATAGCCACTTAATCTCTAAGTACTAGTAGTTTGTATATTTATCTTTATATTATGTCACTTTCTGTACAATATTTCATGTCTTATGATTCATTCATACCCAATTAAAACAGATACCAACAACAAAGATGGAAACCATTGTTTGGTTCGAATCTGAATTCATTTTAATACGACAGAACATCATTCATCGTATATACACATTTTTAATGAGCAATTATGATAATGTTTGGATATATACAGCAAGAAATGATTTTCTAAGTCATGTAAATATCGAAATGTGTTGTAACATGGAAAAGCTAACCAAAACATGAAAATGAAGTATCCCTTTAGTGTTATATGACTTTACAGTGGTATTGATCTTAGATACATCTATAATTGAAAGTATGTTCAACATTTCGTAATTAGATAAAAACTGCTATCTTTTTCTCACAGAAGTATATAAGAAATCACTGCCCCCAAACCACGTCCCCCGCCTCCTTCACCCCCTCCCCTTTTAAAGATACACTTGTAATGGCATGTGAAAATTATTTATTTTCACGTTTAATTTGCATACAAGCTGCTGAAGATTATCTGTATCACATGTATACATGCTTATAACGAATACGGTATAATTTCAGTCGAAGTCGATATAATCCGTACAGCGTAAACTGAATCAATGGAACTACGATGAAAATAGCGCCTGCTATGACGCCTAATGTTAGGCCTGGATTGTTCCAATTCAAAATGGCGTATAAGACGTTCCGTTCCTTATCAAACGTCCAGTAAACAATAGAAAAAACTGTGTATGCGCAGCCGTATATGACCGGATACAGAACATGCAGAAAACGCACTGGTCGCGCGCTAACCGCGAGGTCTAGCAGAACTATGAAGCTGTTGACTGCGTGTAGATTTATGTCATTCACAAGACCCACTTTAACCTTCAGGAAAGGAAATACAGCTGAAAAGTATAACAAAGTCACAAAGATCGAAAAGTGTTGCGCAACTACAGACAATAACCAAGAGAATTTCATCAAGCATGACAGATTGTCTGTTGTTTCTTCATACACTATTGGAGTTATAGTTGTCACAGACCGGGTCTCAGGATCAGAGGTTATACGCCCATTTGATTGGTCTTTGAGTGGCATATTTCTGCTTGATTTATCCGTGCCATTGACGGTATGATTTTTTGTTTCTGAATCGTCTGATGCCTTGGTTACGGTATATGACGTAGTCGCAGCGTCACGCTGGAAAGTATTCTCTTTGAATGAATTGTATGAGGAATTTCTATCGCCACTTAGAGAATACCGATGAGATGTAACACTGGCTGACAAATCATCCTCATCCCTCTCTTGCATACAATGATAAAATAATGCAACGACGGTAGCGACGACGTTATGTGCGATTAGGACGATATAGGTCCAGATAGTGAGGTAGACAAGTAGGTTGTGTTTGGCGTTGGCGTCTGTGGGTACGATGACTGGTATAAACGCCCCTACCAAGTAACCAAGGATTACAAGCCTGAACAGTAGATACAGCCAGGGAGGCCACTGCCACTGAAACACAAAGAACATCTTATTACACATTCCCAACAGCCATCTTTTGATCTTAGATATTCATTTTAAACTTTCACCATACTGTGAAGTCATTGATTTTCGTGAGGGTTTTATTTTCATCAATTTTGTGAATACGGTCAGTTCATGAAATGATAAAGAGTAAAAAATTACTTTCAAGGGCCAACGAAAAAATTTCATTTGAAAAACCATGAAAATTAAGTCCTACCAAAATATTTTCATTCTGATTTCACTGTACATGAAATGTGTTATTATTTCTGTATTTTGATATAAAGATATATTCCCGATGACTTCCAGCACTCAAAAAAAATTAACAACTAATATTTTGTTAGAAATTACTATAGTCCATATTTGGTGAAAGCATGAAATTTAGGTGGGTTTGAAGGATGGAATAGAACTCAACAATTTTCAAACTGAAATAAAGAACGTAGACACCATGAAACGAGTCCTTCAACCTTTTTGATGTTCGTGTTTTTGGTGACAATTAGCCACTAGAGTAAGTAAAAGTGGAGAGGACGAGACATATACCGTCAAATTGTATGTAAGTAATTATTTTTCATGATATGCAGGCCTTTATATAACATACGAACAGCACACTTGTTCTTTGACCTTCAAGTAATCGGTTTTTACTTTAGTAAACTGATCAGACTTCTTACGATCAGCAGGAGTACCACTTATATATGTGTGGTAAAATGTCTTTATTACGTCTTACGTTAGGGTTTTCCCAGGTGTGCAGAGTATGTTCAAACAGTGGGCAGCTCGTATGTTTCAAAAAATGAACACAACCTACACTCAGCTATCACTGAAAGAAATTTTACCACATAACTGGAGTGTTGTATCACACCATACGTCAACGCCATCAATGTTGTAAGATACGTGTGTAATAACGCTAATTTGTCACCGTGAAATGTAACGCCTTTCTAGTGAATCAACTCACTTAAATCAATTTTTTCAGAAGTTCGGATTATATGGTAATTTTATATTCGATTAATTTCTATATTACATCGACGTTTATGTAAGATACCTTATTTTGTCGAGGTATCAGTAAGTCCGTCGTTCCTTAATGAAAATATACATTTACAGAGAGATTATAAGTAAGTTTATAGTATACAAATATTTCCATATATGTACCACTATGTGTTGTTTCAATTAGGGTATGTAGTTGGAGGGAGACGCAATTCTTGGAGAAGATGTATAGAGAGCGAAAGTGTAAATGGACAGGACGAACATGTTATGGAAAGAAAGAGAGTTTTACATCTAGTATATAACAGACTCGTCATAGAAAAGTATGACAAATGGCAATTTCACTGGTTATCTACACTACAGACCTGACATGAAGATTGTACATAAATATATATGTAAATAATAATTGGAGTTACTCACTTCTCGGTAACATTTGGTCATCGATTATGTCTCTTTTTACTTTCCGACCTTCGAAGTTTTTGTCCTTCTTTAAGAATTTTAAATCACACTATGCCTTCATATACAATAACACAAGTATGTGTGTTATGCAAGTGATGGGAATTTTTTTTAATTGGAATATTCCGTGTTTCGATATGTTAAGAATTAATGTCCATAAAGAAAACGTAATGACGTTCACTATTCGAGCTTAAGTATTGCAACCTGGAAGTTCCTAACAGGCCATAATTCAGACCGGTGTGTTTAGCTGGGTTATATCGAAATTATTGTCTTCAAACATCACAGTTCCCTTTGAAATTCTAAATACCTTTCATGATAATGATGTAAGCAGCCTTCCCACTCTCCTGCTGTTTATGTAAAGTAAAGTTTCGTTATTACACAATGCTTTTGGTTTCAGGTTTAAAGAGCTGCATCTCCATTAATAATCACATGGTATCCTTTGTTGATATAATGCGGACCAGCAGGGGCTCTAATCTGAAGTACAGCGAAGTGAGGTTCTGGTAGTCTTTACATTTTTCAATGTTAGCTCGTTACCATACAAACGATTGTAAATCTGGTGCAGTTAGAATTGGTTAAATTATTTCAAAGTTTTCACAGGAAGTAAGAGCTTATTGGAATCCGTTTTATTACTTTCTTAGCATTAATCAATTAGCATGACATGTAATTCATGACTTATAAAATGAATTCGTCGAAATCTTATAAGGCGTCTGTCTGTAGAGATGTGAATGTGATGGTAGATAACGAAAGGGGTTATATCTTGTAAGTTATCGCCATAATCCATTTGTATAACATGCCTATGTACATTTATTAAAAGAAGCAACCTAGCACGAGAGGGTAGAGTTAGGCATAATCTACTCCGTCAGCGGATAATAAATGTCTGAGTTACACACAGCACGTCCATCAAATGTAGAATGTGCTTATGAAATATATATATTGTATCAAAAATGGAAACTGTGTCTGTGATGATGTTGCTTTTAATTTCGAAACAGGGTAAGTTGCTCTGACAGTTGTAAGACAATATTAGGGACTTCTGAAGGGTAAAAAACATTTCATATATTTACTGCACAGCTTCTTATCATAAACATGTCCTTCTAACCAATAACATAAAAAGCCTAATCACACATGTTTTATGAATGTTCAGTACTCGTTCCGTTAGACCGTGAGATGACCAATAATGTCTCGCGTCACTGAAGTTTAATTCCTCTACAGACGGAAGACTCATTTTTCTCGTAACAAAATGGAAGCCTCGTTATTTTGTTAAAGACATGACCTACCAACAGAAGAAAACACAACATCAAAAAACGTGTACATATTAACAAAAATGAGTTAAGACTGTATGTTAATGGTCTTCATACTGTCAGGAATACAATGAAATCCGTATCATCCTGTCCGTGGTAGTATAATGCTTGTTTCATCCTGTCCGTGGTAGTATAATGCTTGTATCATCCTGTCCGTGGTAGTATAATGCTTGTGTCATCCTATCCTTGGTAGTATAATGCTTGTATCATCCTGTCCGTGGTAGTATGTTGCTTGTATCATCCTGTCCGTGGCAGTATATTGCTTGTATCATCCTGTCCGTGGTAGTATATTGCTTGTATAATCCTGTCCGTGGTAGTATAATGCTTGTGTCATCCTGTCCGTGTTAGTATAATGCTTGTATCATCCTGTCCGTGTTAGTATAATGCTTGTGTCATCCTGTCCGTGGTAGTATATTGCTTGTATCATCCTGTCCTTGGTAGTATATTGCTTGTATCATCCTGTCCGTGGTAGTATAATGCTTGTGTCATCCTGTCCTTGGTAGTATAATGCTTGTATCATCCTGTCCGTGTTAGTATAATGCTTGTGTCATCCTGTCCGTGGTAGTATATTGCTTGTATCATCCTGTCCTTGGTAGTATAATGCTTGTGTCATCCTGTCCTTGGTAGTATAATGCTTGTATCATCCTGTCCGTGTTAGTATAATGCTTGTGTCATCCTGTCCGTGGTAGTATATTGCTTGTGGGTAGTACGGTTTGGTATTACGGAAAGGTTTGATTATCTCTACATTGGTGATATGGTGTTGTTTGATACAGGAGCAGAATGCGGCGACCAGCAAAACTGGGACTGATAGATGAATAGCATGAATTCTTAATGCCATTTGAGCACGAAAAGAGGAATGTCTTTTTTGTGAAGCAACTGATCTGGTCTATTTCGATTTCGGCGACAGAATAAAAACACTTTTACACCAATCTGATCTAAAATGATATTATAACTTTTATTTGTATCAACTTACTCTAGCATAAGATCCTCTTTCACAGTGACATGCCAGGCAGACAATGTTAGAAATTATTTATAGTGTGGATATGAATGGAAGTAGAGTCGGTGATGCTACAGATGTTCCCGATGGTGACATGTAATGACGTTACACCAGATTATATTTAGAAAGAGTACATGGTACATCATGACCTTTCTCGTGTATTAGGTACAGACAACCAACCGACTTGTAACAAAGATAATAATCAGGAAGAAATGTCATATCATATTTATATAAACACTTTTACTGTCGTCTTCTCTTCCCGTTCTTAGTCCGTAAAGATTCGGATGATCAAAATAACTTATATAAAAATTCCGACGGCGAAATGATGAACTTCCATCGACCAATGATGTTCGGTGCCCAAGGTTTTGTTCACATGTTGTTTAATGTTTTTGCAAGTCCAGATGTGAAAACCGTAACAGTGACTTGCGGGAAGGCGAGGAATGCTTAGGAGGTCTGTGGTGTTTACACCGGTGATGTCTCCCCTAATTTCACACATCAACTCCATTAACACACGTAGATAATGATGGTAGTTTAGTCTCCCCGGGTTACACACAACCGTCTGGACGTAGAGTCTCTAGTCAGGGGAGGGGCATTCCCTGGTAGGGGGTTGACGGAGAAAACGAGAGTGTAAATGAGTAGAAAAAATATGTCATGGAGACAAAGTGGGGTTTACACCTAGAAAAAGATAGACCCATTGTAAAAAAAAAACATGACGAATGGCAATTTCACACGTTGTCTTCGTTATAGAAACATATGTAGATGGTAGATAACACGTGTGAGTTTATTGCTTCGCAGTAACACTTGGTAAATCGATCATGTCTCTTTATGTAGTTACAAATTAACATCCCTCTGCTGAGTAGGTAGTTTACTTCCAAACATATTTAAGCAATGACAATTATGGCTCATAAATGACAGAGCCTTGGGTGGAAATACCACATAAGGCGCTGGTTCAATACTTCTATTTTCATTGATGTCTTACACCGAAAATTGTTTGAATTTTATTAAATTTATTATTAATTATCGGCAGTTAATCAGTAACGAGGAACAACCAATTTGATGCTTAGCAGCGCCGTTTCCATACCCACAAAAAGACATTGTTCATACGTTGTATGGTAATGTCACTCTATAAGAAAGCAAGTTTCTTGATTTATATAACACATTCTATATATTACCTATCTTCATGTAATAGTTTATCATCGTAGCTAATTATCTTTATCATTTCTATTTGCTGTGAAGTTAATCAGTTTGTGAACTGGTTATATGACACTAACACTTCTGTTGGGTATTGGAATCGTTGAACCGTGTCACATAATACGTGTAATGCCCATTGTATATGTTCCATTGCTAATCAGTACAAGTCGTACGCCTGAAGATATAATTATGTACTTTTTTTCTTCAAAGTGTTATTTACATACCTTACTATAATATATTTTTAATTGTATACTGTCATTGTTCATACTTACTATAAAACACATCGTACTTGCAAGATGTGATGTACTTATTTACACTATGAAATGGTAATACATTCCTTTTTATCATGTACGTGTTTGTAAATACACGAGCATTGTACTTACTTGACACATGTAAAATGCTTTCCTATTTCCATGAGAAAATCCGCAATTTTTCCAAGTGAATTCATCCTTAAGTACGCCACACATTTTATAATTAGAAAGTTCAATCAAACGACATGTGTTAAATGTAGATAAGTCAGCAACTGTAGTAGGTATAGGTGCACGTGATTAGACTGTCCATGCACGAGCAGACTGTGGAACCTTGTGGCATCGGCTACAGGGATTTCGAGGTTAAGTCAGTCTTACCAGCTGCAAATGAACATTTTCACTGTGCACTCTCGCAGTTATAACGAGTTCCCAGGTATACACTTGGGCAAGTTCCACATTCGGAAGAGTACTAATTATTTTTCTTTAAGGTTAGTTGATTCTTAAAATTGGTAGAAAAGATTTGCTAGCCTATTATCTTTGACTGTATTGGATATAAGTACTGTACATTATCTCGCTAGGGAATCTTAAACACTGGTGTATATTGTTGTATAAATATTTGCGCGTCCAATGTCAATACTGTACAGTTATGAATACCTGGGCGGGGGGTTCGCGGCGGTCCGTGACTGACATTAATGCACAGGTGGGCATTGTCATGCTGTCAACAACTGGAACGCTCCTCGTAACCTGCCTTCTTAATAACACGATTTAATTTGCTTGAGCATGCGATCGTTTCTGAACTGAATTCAAGACAGCGGCTATTTTGTCATTCTTTTGTATATCGTATTCATGAAATGTTTTGTTAGGACAAATGTATGTAGAAAGTGTGCCTCGGATATCAATACTGAGTCGTATATATACATGTTCAATTCCTGGCCTTTTGTAAAGTGTCGAATGTCATAAAATGTTACTAAATTCGGTTGTGAAATACCAATGTATACCGCTATGACTGTATTTATACGGTCGGTTTCTCACAAGGAACTGTTTGATATAAAATCGTAACCATTAAGTGTTGATATATGAGATATCTGACCCTGTATGTAAAATATCATACATCAAAAGCCTTTTTATAGATATAATGTTACATAAGATATTTTACATCTTGTACAATTTGATTAAATTCCTGATCGTCATTCCTCCGTGATTAAATCTCGACGATTTATGCGATAATTCTAATTATATTGTCTGAGAACTTCATTGTTTGTTTTTAATTAAGGCACACATTTAAGTTAATTTATCAGGCAAACAATATGTTGTAGACCAAACTCCTAAAATCGTCTTTATTTATTTAATAGTAATGCTTTATTTAGTAATTAAACCATTGACCACATCTTGAGAAGTTATATAATTATTACGTTATTCATAGCACGAAGTCCGTGTTCATAGGTAAGGTGATTGAGTGCACGTCACGGAGTTGAAACGCTCTAGTCTAGGCCCCAATAAAAAAAAATCCTCAAGTATTCTGGTTCCTGGTCACAGTAAAATTCCTCGTGTACTTTCATCCGGGACAATGTAGTAATAATTAATTCAGTTGAAATAACTTATTTCATTTCAGTTTTATAGTAAATACAGTTAAACAGCTACATATAGTTATGTTAAAACAGTACCTTAAGTAAGATTTTGATAGTCATATTTGACCGGAAGTAAGACATTATTCGATATAAAACGAAAGTAAATCGAGTTTTGAATAAAATTACAGCTTTGTTGATGCATAATAAAACGCCATTTGTTTTTCCTGTTAAGAACTTCATATAAAAGTTGTGGCAATTCGATTACGTTATATACGGACCTCTTCTCTGCTTGAAAATTGCAAAATTTCCCTCATCCGAGCCTTCTCTGGTGTGATAGATGAGAGGGATCTGCAATGAAGCCCGAAGGCTGGAGGGTTAAATGTGTACTTGTAAATCTACTAGGTGCATGGCATTGATATTTCAAGGGACTGTAAATACCACACAAACACAGACAATTGACACCAAAAAAACAGGCTTGTCTAGCACATGGACAAACTTTTTGCAGTCTGGTGCGAGATACGCTAAGGGACATAACTCCAGGAAAAGCGCTCTTGACACACCGACAGTTTAACAGACTTCAAAACTTCACTGTGACACATTTTTTTTAGGTTTCTTCGCGGCAGATTATTTAACCATAACTTGATAGAAAAGCAATCACGATTTTTTAAACTTTTCTATTGTACCTTAACACAATAGCGTAACTTTAGATACCAATTTTACAATTTGATCCTGGTAGTTTCCGAGCGATTTGGGTATTATTTACGTCTGGAGGCGGTCTTTGAAATGTCAATTTTTGAGACTATTTGTTATCCTTCAGAAGAAAACAAGTTTTAGCATAGTTCTTTGCCTTGGTAACTTCTATGATAATTTGCTAAGATTTCAGTCCTAATCTCAGAAGGTACAATAGTGTGTAACCTAAAATGACAGCAATGGATAATCTCCCTTCTTTTAATATTATGACGTCATAAGGGTAGTGACGTCATTGTTGCTACGAAAAACAACTATTATTCAGTTGCTTTTAGGAGGGTTCAGTCGCATTTTTTTCGATTCTAGGTTACTTCAGTTTAGATTTTAGTTTCCATTCACATTCGGAATGAACTTGGACAATCTGGAACATCAGATTGGAGGTCATTTACTTCAACAACTGAAATGTTGCATCTGTATGGAGATCTACAATGATCCAACTGCCTTGCCGTGCGGTCACACGTTTTGTTATAAGTAAGTTGAATGTCCATTTTGTATGATGATTATTCGAATTTATCGGTAACATATAGAGTTCGTGTGCAAAGAGATTACCAAATAATTGCCCCTATACCAAAGAATACAACTGGTCTTTAAAAGGGCTTTCGGGAACTTTTAGTGCAACTTTGGAAATTTTAGATATTTATATTAAACTGGTACATAAAACCCAAAATTTTAAAACATTCTTTTTCTGCTTGGATGAGTAAGTTTGTTTAAAGTTAATTGGAGGCTTTAAAATCATCATCTTTATTGAAAATGCAACAAGAAAATTATGAATAAAATATTTTGAAACGAAAGCTGAAACATCCAAGCGGGCAATACAGTTCCCTGGGCCTCTTGTTTGAACTGTCCATACAGATATACCGGTCTTGTATGTTCCATATGTAACCACCGTCCTCACTTACGATGTACTTGCTGTGGTTTCCATTTACAGTTGCCTCCTGGATTTAGCAAAACACAAGAAGCGTCAAGTAAAGAATCCATTCATGCTGATGGAGATGACCGTGCCGTGTCCGAATTGTCGTTGTGGCGTCGCCTTCACAAACATTATGACCAAAACCAATGGTGTCGTTCCTAACTTCGTCCTTATGTCCATCATTGAGTCTTACCAACAAATGGGACAGCCTCGTTCCCAGGTCAGTATACATATTTTTCTCCTCTTCTGCGTACAAAACTCTCTACTGCTCGGTTATATTGTTGAAGATGTAAGAACAGGATATGTACTACAACTGCAGAACAAGTATTATCAATGTGACATTAGGAAGTGACAGAAAAAAATAGAAAAAACTAACAAAGAGTCCGGTCAAGAGGAAATGTAATCCCTGTCCTGGAAAACAACGAATTAAATGTGACAATAAATAGGACATTGACAGGATACGCCTTTCTTGGGATACTTCTAAAATAGGAATAAAATTGTGGGTCTGTTTTAAGAAAACACGTTAGATTTTTTTGTCTAAGCTTATGCATTGAATTAATTGCTGACGGAGATTGAAGTGTAGAAATGTTTGAAATTGCTATCTTTTCATTTTGCATTTGTAAGTATAGAAAGCATATATCTTAGGAATATCTTTAAAATGTTTCCGATATATGTTATATTGTTTGACTCAGAAATGTGTTTCTTACATAGGTGGACGCTTCCACAAACACCGAAACTTTCGCAATGACCGGACAACGGATAAACGAAATCAGTTCGGAGTTAGACTCATTAATGATATCAACGAAAGCAAAAACTTCGATACTCCAAGGATGTAAGGATGAAATAGATTGTATAAGGCTAGAAAACCAGAACTATATTGAAAATCAACTATCTTTAAAATACCAAAATAACGCTGGCAAAACAAATGAGATATACAACGAACTGAAATCAGTCACCGGAAGTAGCAACGAACTTGAGGCGACACCTCCCGGATTTGTAACACCGCCATTTTACCATAACGATCCCGGTGTAATGGATCCAGCGATTCTGTCGATCGGCGGTAATCTAAACTTCTACCCACCGCCATTCCAAATGATCCCATACCAAACAGGATCATGGCAGACAAACACAGGGCCGTGGCAGACAAACGCGGAATGCTGATCTGTGAGACACAGAACATTGATAAAACGATTTATTTGGAAGAGGTTTAGACTGGGGAGGGCGACACAGGGACGGGTAGGGGGGAGGGGAGGTACACATTCATTAAGAGAAGAGAAGGTTGTGTAGGTCATGAGCAAGCTATACAGGAACACAAACAGAAAAGCGATGCTTTCAAATTTCGAAGAAAGTGCTGCGTAAAATATCGGAGTTTGCTAAATACCGGTGTAGCGACGAAGGCGGAACTAGGACTCAGGGCTGGGCATATACACACCGAATCAAGAGTAAAATTTCAATAATCCTTTATGAATAACAAAAATATTACATATGTTTTCGAACCGAAGAACATTTTCCTTTTTCATGTTTTTGTATAACTTTATCACCATAACCTAAAGTCGGCATTTTACACCGCATATACATGTGTTATATCCCCTTCATCTGTATATAGAAAAGTTTTAATAAAGATATATTTTCAGATTCTGTGATTGTCGTTATTTTGTCTTGCGTTTATCGCTGATCCCTGTACAACGTTATCGACACTCAAATCAAGTCGCCCTATTTCCGTAGGTGATCTTCATCCATAATACCATCACACGCTGGAAGCGTTTTGGATAATATGTAGTTTAATTACAGTACAGTTGAAATAGCGAACAGAAGTTAGAACCTTGTTCTGCTCTGTAATACCTTATGCTATTGTTTTCGTTTAGTAATGTTTTCTCAATGTAATAATACATTCGATATCATTGTTAGTGGCTTCGTGTAAGATTTGCATGGTAGGTGTATATCTTACATTTATATCGACTATAATCATAACCAGACAAATTTCTTTGTATTTACATCACCAATGTTGATTTGAGCAAAAAAAGGTACCTAGTTATTCTGAACAAAACCCTTTACTGCTATGAAACAAATTCAGTCATTGGGACACCGAGAACTAATAATACAACAGTGTAGTCTCATAATGACCATGACTTTTAGTACTGATGTAATGTGACAGCGGAGGACAAATACATAGGATTCGTCTGTCCCACGGATGTGGATAATGGATTTTGGATATATACAGATTACCTGTAATAGCATTTGTTAACTAACATTGAGTTCCAGTCACCTCGTAAGAGATATTACAACATATCAGCACGACTGAGAAGGACATGTCCTCGTAAAGAATCACACGACTGGCAATCTGGAGTGTTCTTTGGAGTTCTATAGCTCAAAATATCAACACCGTGAAATATTTCCGGAAGTCATATGATCAAGAAATAACCGTAATTCAACAAAACCTGTAAAACTTGTTGAAGCGTTGATTGCTCATCCTGTTTGTATCCTACAGACATAGTTACAGTCCATTTCATTGTCTTTTATCATATGGCTCTGTCCACTCTCATATTTTCCCTATTTTATATTAACTTCATTAAGGGAAAGCCCCACGATGTGTTGGAACTTACGGCGGTATACTAGTACCATGATTGGCTACACGTAGTGAAGATGCTCTCCGAGCTTGACTGTTCGACGCGAAGTTTACGGGCGATAATCCAGTCTACGTGTATTTTGCACATATTTAAGAAGTTTTGGCTACCTGTGATTTGTCTTTCATCCTTTCACTAAGGTGTCTCTCATCATTTGGTGACATATCTCCTACACTTCGCTGTTGTATCTCCTTCCCTTCGTTGGTTTATTCGTCTCCTAACCTTCGCTAATGTGTCTCCTTCCCTTCGTTGGTTTATGCGTCTCTTAACCTTTGCTGATGTGTCTCCTGTCCTTCGTTGGTTTATGCGTCTCCTAACCTTTGCTGATGCGTCTCCTTCCCTTCGTTGGTTTATGCGTCTCCTAACCTTTGCTGATGTGTCTCCTGTCCTTCGTTGGTTTATGCGTCTCCTAACCTTTGTTGATGCGTCTCCTTCCCTTCGTTGGTTTATGCGTCTTCTACCCTTCGCTGATGTGTCTCCTCTCCTTCGTTGGTTTATTAGTCTCCTAACCGTCGCTAATGTGTCTCCTTCCCTTCGTTGGTTTGTGCGTCTCCTAACCTTTGCTGATGTGTCTCCTGTCCTTCGTTGGTTTATTAGTCTCCTACCCTTTGCTGATGTGTTCCCATTCCCCGGTGATGCGTCTTTCATCCTTTCACTTATGGGTCTCTCATCATTTGGTGGCATATCTCCTAACCTTTGCTGATGTGTCTCCTGTCCTTCGTTGGTTTATGCGTCTCCTAACCTGTGCTGATGTGTTCACATTCCCCGGTGATGCGTCTTTCATCCTTTCACTTATGGGTCTCTCATCATTTGGTGGCATATCACCTACCCTTCGCTGATATGTCTCCTGTCCTTCGTTGGTTTATGCGTCTCCTAACCTTTTGCTGATGTGTCTCATACCTTTTTATTAATGTCTCCCTTGTCGCCCACTCTCTGCTGGGTTGTATTCAATGGCGGTCGCTCGCTAAGTCTGTATTGTTTCGTTTCCGTCCTTGTTTATTTTTTTTGTTTTTAGGTTTTTTCAATGATCAATTACTAGTTTAGTAAAGCTTCACGTGGTTTTGAAAGCAGAAATACCGGAAACATAGTAGGGTCACCTATGTATATTCCGTCAAAAGATCAGTTCACAGAGACAACCGCAGATTTCTTGTTTTACAACAAAATCAAATGACGACTGATCTTTAAAACTTTCTGATTAAGATTAAACTATTATTTTCATTCCTGACCTACTATGGAAATGAAAGTGCAGCACGTATTATCATATATTGTTTCCAAAGTGTTAGTAAATTAGAAAGATTTACAATGTTTCATATGTAGTTCATTCCTAAAGCGGTAAATCAGATTTTTTTTCCTCGGAATTTTATCAACTGTATCACTTTACTCTCTTAGAATGCTTCTGATGTACCGAAGCCCAGTATGGTTAACAATTCTGCCATTCCACATGCCAACAACTGTAAGTTTTAAAAATGCAGAAAGTCTTTATAACGAGAAAACCAGGTCGAAATAATGCTTCTTCTCGATTTGGATAACCAGCAGTGTGGCATTCGATCATTTATCACATGGGAAGTGTACTAGATGTGGCCTCTTGCACCTTTTGCAGCAGAATTTGTGTCAATCATTTCCTGTTTTTCGCTAAAACCGCCAATATATAAAAAGCTTTTCTTCAAAGGAAGTTTAAAACTATCAATTCTTAAATCCGTTGTTAAATTGACCTCAGTAAATATTCGAAATTTTGTCAAAGTAAGAAATGATGAGGTCATTAGTTGTGATAAGCTTTTGTGTATGATCAAATGTAGAATTTACAATTACTTATGTAACAGGAGCGGAAAACGAGCGGCCAGACTGGGGTTCGAACCCGAGACCTTCCGAACTCTAGATGGATGGTGTTGTTTTTTCTAATAATTGATATTATATATTGACGGGGATGCTCTACCTACAGAGCTAACTGGTCGCTTACGATTGACCCCGTCCAGTTCCGTTATTAACTATTTTCTACTTTCATTTGCTTTATTTTAACAGAAACATTTTGCGTGTTAGTTAGTATACAAGGATAATATACTAGTATACTAAGTTTTTGCTACACAACCTGTAAGAAAAATAGTGAGATTTTACGATGACAAACAACATGATACAAAATGGGACATCACAGAAAAGGGAAATATTCATGTATTGGAGGCATCATTACAACGTCTAAATACAAGGAAATCATAATTGTTTTAATTGAAAATTGAATATTTTTAAAGCAATTGAAACAATTCAACATTGTATTTATGTTCACACTGAACTGTAGACGATAATGTGTTTTTAAAGCCATGCTCGCACATTCTACTTCGTTATATCCAAGAGAGACATTAACTTTCTGAAAGGGAGCTTCTGTCCTGTAAAAAGGCATTACTTATAGAAGATCTCAGAACCTGGCATGGTTCAAATGTCATGTTCCGGTCAACTTCATTCAAATGGTGGATAAGTCCATTCAGATACCGTTTTTCATCTATTTCTTGAACCTGTCGCTCAACCTCGTAATCGATATCTTTCTTCTCCAACTCTAGTTTCGAAAACTTTTTTCCTAGGTCAGCATAATCACCTACAAGTTGATGAGTCTCAAGTTTCAACTGTTTTGCTTCTTCCGTCATTTGTATCACTCTTCGGTACATCTCTGCCATTGAGTCGTCATTTCTGGTTTCGTCGCACGCTTCCTTTGCAATGGGAAATTGTTTCTTTTGCTGTTTTTTAGGAGTTTTTCTGTATTGCTTCTTTGGTCTGGCGTTGCTCTCTTCGTCCAATAAAAATCGTACATGTTTTTCACGTTGTTCGACAGGCCCTTCATTATTTTCAGCCATTCTCAAGTAGCCGATCATAACGCCATTTTCATTTACTTTCCACGTCATCAAAACTGACGTTTTTCGCTTATTGTTGATGACGTCATGTTTTCTGTCTTGGAGACGATTACAATGCATTTGGATGATGGAAGAGTCTGAAACCCCGCAGTCCTTGGACAGACTATGGTATAAGTCCTTAAAATGTTGCATTTGTTTGGATTACTACAACAATCCACATACCCTGAAATGTGGACACAGCTTCTGTATAAGGTGAGTGTGTTGCTGCATGTTCGAGTTGAAAGAAGCTGCAGCTGGTGAGAACATTTTGGTTAAGATGTCTAAAGAAACCTTTTGCTGATCTGACCCCGCGTATCCTTTTAAAGTATTTGAGTTGTACAACATTTCTAATGTAAAAGAACAGTGAAAACACATCCTTGCCGAATTCCCCGACAGGAATCAAACCCAGGTCTCTTGCTCTGTCAAATGAGGTTAAAAATCATGTGTTTTTTCTTGGTATTTCACAAAAAGATTTCTTCAACTTTTGTTCCATGTTTTGGTCACATATCAGCAGCGCACGTATGTATAAATAGATCGCAGCAAGGCATGCCAGGTTCAACAGTCTTTTAACAGGTAGGGTTATCTAGAATGGATCACCCATTATATTCTGTTTGTTTATAGAATAAAATGACATTATCTTGAATATTTTTCTTCGTTTTATGAAAGTTCAACTTCTTTCTCATCATCCTCGGTCACTTATCTGTCAAAATGTTAATTTCAGCTGTACGTTTCATTGTTCAAAACATGTTACAATATTTGTGTTGTTCCCAGGATTTTTTTTCACTATAATTTCATCTTTTTAATTTAAACAAAGAGGATAAACAACATAGAAGACAGGGACTGATAAAAATGCCATAGTAATTCATAAAAACCTTATTTCTTGTTTAGAATGCTTAATATTCATTTATATTGCAAAATAAAAATACCACGTCAAATATCAAATAAGTGTTCCATTTTGGGTTGCGTTCCGTTTTTGGTAGCGTTACATTACCTATGTACAAGCTATACTGCCCCGCCCCTTGTACACAAATACATCTATTTCACTATAGGAATCGGACATTTTACATTACCCTTTTTGTGTTTTACATCAAACCTGTAAAACGTCCACTGTTCTACAAATGATGCTTGGTATTTGGCCAGAGCGAATGATTTCATGGTAAGTCTAGGCGAATTATATAAAAACGAAATTTTCATAACTTCAGATTGCTGGCTTACTTAGCTAGGTTTTGATGGATTATACAATTCCCCTATGAAATAAACTCAGAAATACTGTAAAACTGTAGTTTTCGAGGCGTTTTGAGGATCGGGTACAATGAAATACGTAATGAATACATATCGTTGAATCAGAAGCTTTTTATTACTACCTGTAGCTGTCTTGGTCGTTTGGCACGGAATGCCGTAGATCAGCATCCTGGCTCAAATCCCAACCAAATAAAGTTGCACTGCCCAACCTGTCGACGTCCGCTAAGTGCAAAGAACATACGGAAGGGAAAACTGACCGTCAACTACAGTCTACAGGAGTTTGTGGAAAACTGGCTCAGCGAACAGAGCACGGTAAGACGCACTTCCCTCCATCAAAATATCTTCAAGCTATGAAAAGTTGCCATTACTATCGTAATATGTAGCATGACATGATATGGAAGTATATTACATTGTTGATATGTTAGATGTATGTGCAATCGTAATTCTTGGGAGAAGGTACTTTCAAGTTGTGATAACTTTTGCCTATATCGCATTTGTTGGATTTAACCAATGAAATACGTTTAAATCACATTGACATTAAAGATCTGGTTTGGATGATAGACTAAAATGCATGATTAGTTTTCATTAATTGGTATATTGACGTTAAATATGATCCGCCTTGCCATAAACAGTCCAAATGATGACATACGATGTACAATGCTAGGTGATGTGTTCATGACCATGGCTGCATTTCATTATCATTTTCATTTCAGATTCGAACCCAGACTATTCAGGTTCGATCAGTCGCGTCACAGAGTGCTGACGAGGGTAGCGATGAGGAGGATAATAATGAAGAGGTGTCCCGAACTGAATTCAGGGAGGTTCCCTTGCGGAATCTTCTTCCGGCGATGTCCAGTAGTGAGGTGGACAACATAACTAGTCATGTGGAGCAACGACGCGCTCGAGTGACATTTAGTTGTGGCAGCACTTCGGACGAATCCGATGCCAGTTTCACAACGGCACGAGACAGTCAGTTAGTAGCGCAACATGCCGTACAGAATTTGCCCGTCTTCTCGTTTACCTCTATATTAAGTCACTTCTTACAGGACATTTGTGGAGTTGTATCCGATGTAATAAGATGTCCGAACCGGTCCGTGATGGCGGTAGTGTGGAGCGGATACACCTTCTCCATCATGCTTATCTCCAGTGGTTTCTTTCCCTACATGCTTCTGTATAGTGTTCTCTTCTTCCTTATACTGTACGCTGAGTCCATTGAGCAGCGCCGAGCACAACGGGAGCGCCAGGCACTGGCAGTCGAAGACTAAATGCAACTGACATGAATAGCGATTGCGGAATTCGTTTTGGTCGCTTTTTCAAAAATGACTATGCGGTCAGGTAACAATAACATGTTTTCCTGAATGGAATGCATGATAAAATCCGATACATAAGACAAACGCGTTATTGATTTTTTGTTTTCCTAAACTCGGCTTGTCCTTGCCCGGTGGATATCAGTTGTGTTGATATCATCATTGTCTGTGAATGTCAAGATGAATTTGCAGCTTATTGCTACCCTGAACATGTTTTTTGTTAGTCGAATTAGGAAAACACATCATCCACGTATTGGATTAAACATAGTTTATCTGATGGTTTTGAATCAAAGAAAGATTATCAACGATGCAAAAATGATGCAATTATTAGGAAAACTACAATTTTATAAGCTTTGCTTGTTATCAATTAAAACCACACAACCATTAAAGAATGAAAGTCTTGTGTCAGTATATTCCACCTTAATACACTGAAAAAGAGCCATCGCCGAAAAATCTAGGGTGGAAGTACACCCGAATTTGGAATGTGTATCACGTATATAAATGATTATTTACCTGTTTGAAATAATGTAATCCTACATTGGATATCTAACAGATCTTTCAAGTTTCCATCCTTTTGTCTGTTAGTATCGCTACCGAGACGCAATTATCACGTGGTGCGTTTAATGTTTCAATTGCCTCCTCCCAAAGTTCCGGTCTGGGAAGTTATGGTTAACCTACTCTAACAAATAATTACTTTGTTTGACTTATTGTACAATGATTATCAATTAGCAACATATTTGGCTACGTTTTAAATTGATTAGGTCACAAGTCCCTTACCGGGGGACCTGAAGTTTTCTCCCGTTTATAAATCCCATCCAAGGTTTCCTCGTCTTATATTTTTTATCTCCTTTTGTAATAACTTTCACAAGTTTGTCGACAGGTCCGTTTTACCCGCCTTTTTAACATAACGTTTAAAATTTCTGGTCAATATGGACATTACTCTCAGGAGCGAGAGTATGCAAATTGTCTTCTGCATTACTCTCCAGAGCTAATGTATTATTCTCCAGAGCGATTCTTGATGGAGTTCAATCCGCATTATTTCCGAGAGCGTGTCTGGCAATATGGACCGCCGCAATACTTTCCGGAGAGAGTCTTGACAGATGGACTTCCGTCGCTCCACGGAGCGATCCTCGCCAGATAGATCCCTTTATAATTTTCAGAGCTAGTCTGGACAGAGGGACAATTCCAATACTCGCTGGAATGAGTCTTGACAGATTGATTTCTGCTTTACTCTCCGGAGCAATCCTATACAGACGGACTTCCGTGATACTCTTTGCAGCGAGTCTGGCAGGAGGACTTTCTTGTCATTCTCATGAGTGAGTCTAGACAGGCGCACTTCTGCATTACTCTCCGGGGGAAGTCTTGACAGGTGCACCTCCGCATTACTCTCGGGAGGAAGTCTAGACAGACACCTTTCCGCATTTCCCCCCGGAGGAAGCCTTTACAGACACCTTTCCGCATTATTCTCCGGAGGAAGTCTTTACATACACACTTCCGCATTACCCTCCGGAGCGATCCTAGAAAGGCTTCTTCCATATTGCCCTCCGCGGTGAATCTAGACAGGTGGACTCCATTGATATTTCTCGCAGCAAATCTTCTTAGAGGGAATTACGCAGTACTCCCTAGAATGAGTCTTGACTGACTTCCGCATAAATCACATGTGCGGTCTGAACAGACTGACTGACGCATTTCTCTCGCTCCCGAATTTTGACACAAAGATTTCCGCAGTGTCCTTTATGGAACGAGCCTGGCCGACTCTAAGCAGGAATGTTGGTATGTAGAAAAGGGAAATATACAATTAGAAAAATGAAAAATTCACGCTTCACATACAAATTGATGGCACGCTGTTCCTGTTGATTTCGTTGTAGGAAAATATCAAGGTAAGCGTCTAAGATAAAATACCGTGTTCATCGATTTCCAATTCCGATCGGTATATACCATGGACATGGTCAATAAAGTATTTTTTATCTAAAGTTAAGACATATGACAGTAATGGACTTGGCATGGTCTCTGTGACCTGTTTTGATATAGACCCATATGAAGTCAACCAAGAGAGAGACACGGTATGTCAATAGCATGTTGGGAGATATTTTCGGCAAAGATTCTTTTCGACCAGAAACTCGATCTTCTTCACGATTTCGCCTCCGTATACACCGCAGTATAAACGTGTGGTTTATATGGGATCTTGTTCCATATGTTTTAAATCACGTACAAGGTCTGAAAAGACCCACAAAATTACAGCAGTCACGATATAAATTATATATACCCATAAATATGTTTCTCCTCCAAGTCATTGGTTTCATAACTTGCTATTTTTGCGTCATTTTGCAGACCATGTTGTATATATGATAATATATATAACCGTAATTTACAGTACGAGGTCGGTACTATTGCTGTATCGATATAACATCACTAAGACTGGTTAGTAGTGCATTGTCGGAAATCGTCAAAACAACGGTAAAAACAGAAGCAACGACAGGCGATGCTCCAACATTTTTGTAACATCAACGGCAGTACCCTGGTATGGTTTCGTTTAATTATAAGGGTAGAGCATGAGTCAAGTCTCGAAAATAGATCGGGCGACTCTCTGGTATATACAGTATTTGTGGCGTGTTACTTTAGTCCTGTCATATACAAGTATGCTAAAGATGTACTATCGTTCTTAGCGACATCACATCTCTAGAGCTCCAATCAACAGTGGCGCCTAGGTATAACATCGGCGAATCATCGGTAACACAACGCCGACGCCTCGGCACAACATTGGCGAATCATCGGTAACACAACGGTGATAACTCAGCATAACATCGGCCAATCATCAGTAACACAACGGCGACACCTAGGTATAACACCGGCGAATCATTAGTAAATCAACGGTGTCGCCTCGAAATAACATCGGCGAATCATCGGTAACACAACGGTGACGCCTCGGTATAACATTGGCAATTCATCGGTAACACAACGGTGTCGCCTCGGTATAACATCGGCCAATCATCGGTAACACAACGGTGTGGCCTCGGTATAACATCGGCGAATCATCGGTAACACAACGGCGACGGCTCGGTATTATAACTTCGGCAAATCATCGGTAACACAACGGTGTCGCCTAGGTATAACATCGGCCAATCATCGGTAACACAACGGCGACGCCTCGGTATAACACCGGCGTGTCATCGGTAACACAACGGTGTCGCCTAGTTAGTATAACTTCGGCCAATCATCGGTAACACAACGGTGATGCCTAGGTAGTATAACATCGGCAAATCATCGGTAACACAACGGTGTGGCCTCGGTATAACATTGGCGATTCATCGGTAACACAACGGTGTGGCCTCGGTATAACATCGGCGAATCATCGGTAACACAACGGTGTGGCCTCGGTATAATATCGGCGAATCATCGGTAACACAACGGCGACGCCTCGGTATAACATCGGCCAATCACCGGTGACACAACGCTGTGGCCTCGGTATAACATCGGCCAATCATCGGTAACACAACGGCGACGCCTCGGTATAACACCGGCGAATCATCGGTAACACAACGGCGACGCCTAGGTATAACATCGGCCAATCATCGGTAACACAACGGTGTCGCCTCGGTATAACACCGGCGAGTCATCGGTAACACAACGGTGGCGAAAAAGTGGTTCATCAGCTATTATCGATAGGTTAATGGTATATTGCTATGACTAACTTCGATTTTTTTCGTCGTTTGTAATTTTTAGTTCCGGACTGGAGTCTGAGAGGTACAAAGTACGTAGGTAGTTTGTGACATGGCTTTATTTTGTATCTAACAATTACATTAACTTGACGAAATCTTTGTTTGTTTTGTTTTGTTTTTTTTTCGAATAAAACCTCAACAGACATGCCAAGGCAAGTTTACTTACCAGGTTCCAACCAGCTGAATAATACAAAGATAATAAAATATACGTTTTCGTTTATGCCCTCTTCTTACGGTTGTTATTTATCTAATCTTGTCTAATTGTGCCCCCATTCATTACTATGCTATAGTTAGTGTGAACTTGGCACTGACCCGGTCTGACCAGAGCCATTCGACCAGGAAAAAAAGCGAATTTCATTTTCGTAAAAAAAATTACACTAATAAGTTAATATGACTATCACATAATTACACGACTAAATCAATAGGAAAATCAGCTTAATGCCATCCGTTCAAAAATTATCTGACATTTTTCATGCAGGAAGTGCTATACAATCAATTTGAAAAATATCAAGCTTCTGTATGTTTTAAAAAGGATTAGTTATGTACTTTTGGAGAAAATGGTTTATTTACACAGCAAGGCTAGTTAACTGGAATCACTATGCTGCTTATAGTGTTACCAAGTGATAAACAGATATAGACAGTTTATTACCCCGCGGTATTATACATCTATGCACGAAATGATAGACATTATTCTTATAACATTCATATTTTCTACCTTTACTTCTACATAACCATCTTTTCATAAATTATGCATCATTGTTCTAAATGCACAGAGTCATCCACTGAAGAAATGAAAGTTTTTCTTTTTTTCTTTTTAGAATTATAAGAATGTAAACTAGGAGTATCAGGTATTGATTATTTAACACTGATAGGCTAAATCTAAATTTACGTTAGAATTTACTCATTTTCCAGATTTGCTCTCTTGGAGACGTGCATACTGTTATCCCGAACTCTTTCACTGTTGTCGACCTGGATCATGGTTCGGCTCCGTCATTTAATCAGACCGTTATAACATGACCGGAATATATGCTTGCACATGCGCAGCTTTAGTGTTGACATTTTTTGAACAGTGTAAACATAATGTTGTGTTGGTTCGTGAATATATATATTTTGCCTATTGAGCGATAAGGGGTAGGTTATTTTTCTTGGTTCAACATTTATATGATATGTGATTAACGATGTAATGATTCCTACTCATCACTCATATTTAGATCGTCAATTTAAGCCGGGAACTTAAGAGATGTGTTCAGGCATGTTTTGAATTTGAGATTCGAATTCGGTCAGCAGTTCATTGAAAATGAAACCATTTCCTTTCGTATAGAATCATGTATATTGACACATAGACTGCACAGTAATTCTCTTAAAGTAAGTAGTTTTGTTCTCACGCATATTCTGCAATAATATATACTCTATCATTTTGTCTGTTAGCATTTTGCGACTGTGATCATCTAGGCCTAACTTGTACCAGTTTAATTTACCTGTTACATTGTATTGAAGATTTTGTCAATGCAGGCTTATACGAAAATACATAACAACAAAATAAATAATTTTGAAGACATACAGAGAGCTAGAGGTATCAGGCCAGGAATAGGTTTTATTTATGTCGCTCTGTTAGGATTTTAGATCTTGAAATTAAGAAGTAGAATTTTTGGATGTGCTGGAATTTCAGGCACCATTTTGGCCTTTAATGAAGGAAGGTTGCTTCCAGTCTATGAGACTTAAGATATGATAACAATTATTTTATTGCAGGTAAAGATAATATATAATACACCAACGTGATGGCAAGTGGGAGCTTCTTGGGAGCCTCTGGAGGGGCTGGTTTAAATGCAAGCCTTCCACCTCTGCCTCCCTCCCCTGGACAAAACTTGGCTCAAAAACTCCCCCAAATAACAACCGAAACAGAACTGCAAAAAATGTTAGCTGATGAGCGGATGCGAAGTCAAATGCACAGAACAAACTATGAACAGTTAAAACAAGAACATAGAAGGTTTGTTGAAATACAGTATTTAGAATTATGATTATGATGAATGGGCATATTGTTTCCATAAAGGATTTAGTGTTGTGAGATGAGATACTCCAATAAATCAATAACTGCAGCAATGTATTGATTAAATTTCTGAAATAAGAATATATTCTATATGTGAGGTAACTTCTTCTTTAGACTATGACATGATGTCTCGACTGAAAAGAAATGGAAGATGTACATGTAACACTAAATTGACATGTATCAGCCAGAGTTATCAATGAAATCATTCCAATTCTGTTGATGTATGGTTATTATAGATTGCAAGATGAATACTCTAAACTGGAAGATGAAATTAAGCACACCATTGAGGAGAGTAAGATTGTGCAAGAGAAATACAAAACAATGTATGAACAAGCAAGGAAAGATCTGACAATCAAATCTGAACAGCTGGAGGAGCTTCGCAGTAAGGTAGGAAAATGTGATAAGATAGTTTAAAATAGTCAAGTTTCACAACACTCTCAATTTACAGAAGATTACTATGACTTTCAGAATTGAAAATGCTCAAATTGTTGTATTTCCTTAAATTGTATTCCCAGTTGCATGCATTATAAAAATCTGAGTCGCTAAATCTTTGATAAAACATGCATTCTTGTTTGAGTACATAGTACATGTACATGCTTATGCAATAAGAAAAAAACACATTTGGTAGATTATTTGTAATACAAAACCGACACAATGTCAACTCTGAGGTAAGATTTATTTAACTAATACACCAACCCAGTACATGGTTGAATTGTTGTCAGAAACGCAATGTAGTTTATCTGAGAATATTATGGTGTAGTAGAATATGAAAATGTAAACTTTGTTTATTTCACAATTATGGTGATACAAGCTTTAAGTCTATGTTAATCACTTTAACTACTTGTTTGCTCAGATGGGGGATATTACTGTGGGAGAAAACAAGAGTACAGTGAGCAACCAGGAAAACCCCACATAGTTGATCCCATATCTAATCATGTCTGTTCAGGGAATCACACCCTAGATGTCATGATGTACATAGTTTTACTTTATAAAGTTTTCTGAGAATAATAAATTCCTGTTGTAATATTTATTGGTTAGGTGGTGACACCCCAACGTTTGGAGATCTTGAAGATGCAGGTGGTAGATGATATGGAAAAAACCTACAAAGAGAAGTACCACAAGCAGGAGGCAGAGTTAGATGAGTTTAAAACTACCTGTACTAAACTCAAGTACGAGCTCGCATTTGTTAAGTCTGAGTTTGAACATGACAAGTTAGAAAACCAGCGCATTCTAGAGGAAATACGATTACAACAAGAGGCAGAGGTGGGTTGGTTGTTATGGTGAAAAAATGCTGATAAGACAATACTTATGTTATTATTTATATTTGGAAAGAAGAAACTTGTATTCTTTCTTGGTGAAAATATGAAATCATTCTATACATGTCAAATCTTTAGGATAATATTGACCAAGGAGCATTTGATTATTATTGATTTGAATTGATGTAGAAAAAGTGATTGCAATGATTCAGTTATTTAAGAGTAAATCTTAGTTCTGTATGATGAAGTAATGTTCATGTACACTGTAAGTTTGTATTCTCCATAGAATAAATTTTAGAGTAATTTCTTGATAATTTCTGTATTATATCTATAACACATATGAGGTAAATGTCCAGATCCATCGTATAAGCTCAGTAATTGTTACAGGTGTCAAATCTGAGGAAAGAGCGAGAGGTGACTTTGACTAAAATGAAGGCAGAAGGCAATCTAGACTCAGAGCGGGTACGTGTCTTGCAACGTGAGAATGCTCAGATGCATCTGAAGCTAAAGAGCTTGACCACAGAAATGGAGGAGATTCAGGCTCAGAGAGAGAAACAGAACTTTGATGTGGACCACCTCAATCGTGTACAGGCCAAACAGATTGCTGAGTTCACAGCATCCATTAAGTCTATGGAGGTATGAAATCCTAGAGAAAGGGAGTGTGATAAATCTGTACAGATCACTTTTCATCATGTCAATCATGTTTACAAAACCTATTAAGATAACAGAATTAGTTTCAATTGAATGATTGTAGGTCAAAAATAAAGTGCATGGTAATATGCACATTGAAGAAATGTAAAATATGTGACAAACATTTACTTACCAATAAATGGATTTTAGTCATAAAAAGTACACATACCTGTACATGACTGGAATTTTTCTTTTAATTTTTCACATGGCCATTATTCTGTTGATTGTTGAAAGCTTTATCTGCTTTTGAATTGGATATTTTGTTTTAAAAATCAATGTGGTGTCATATGGTACATCTTGGTCTTGTAAGTGCTGGCAACCTGAGGTTTCGTAAGTGTGAAGAATAATGTATTTTCATGTTTTTCTCACAGAAAGGAATTGCTAGTGTGTCATTGCATTTTGATGTTTACAGACAGAGAGGGAGTCACTGCGTAAACAAGTTGAGCAGCTCCAGCGAGACTTGTCAGCCACAGGAGACACTCACAATAAGCTGATTTCTCGTACACATGAAGTGGAGCGGGAAAACATTCAGCTAAAAAATCAAGCAGATGAGGTATCACATAAGAGCAAGGTAGATCTCACTAATCTGAAGATGGACATGCTGAAACAGAGAGGGGATCTGGAGCGTGATCGTGACAGACTATCCAACCTCATCGATGGTAAGATAAAGTCAGTAACTGACATCACAAAAAACTTTGTGAATATCTAACTGCTCAGCTTTGAGTTTCCATCACAAAGAAAGGCACATTGGCTGGTAGACATTTAATGGTACTGAACTGATGTATTGGGCCCCTGCAGTGTCTGATTCTGTACAGTTTGATTTAACATTGTAATTATGTAAATCATCAATTTAATCAAGTTCCATAGTGTATGAAAGTTATACAAGTAAAGTGTATTTTCTAGACAAGTTTCTACGCTTCAAACATTTGCAAAAGAAAGATTTTAATTTTTTTTTTAAGCATTGCAATTCAAAAACCTATCTGCATTGCAATCCAAGTGTGGATACAAAAGTATCTGTGTTTCTTTCACTGATCTCTATATGTTGCAGCAGTATTCTGTCTTTTAAAGCATTGTTTCAAATCCACAAAATCTGTATTATTTGTGTTAATTGCTGAGATGAATGACCCTTCACACTGTTGCTGACTTTTGGCAGATCTTCAAACAAAACTGGAAATTTCTAAACACACCATTGACCAGCAGTCACGGGGGCTTGCAGAGAAAGAGAGGGAGGCAGTGCGCCGTGTTCAGGGAGCACGTGAAGAAGAGTTTGAAAAATTCACAAAACTGGAGAGTGAGAAGTAAGGTCCCAGTTTCATTGATAGCCAGTTAAACATTTAGAGAACATCTCTTTTAGATATAGATATGAATGGGGTACCTTGACATGTGTAATGTATATTTGTTTTAGTAGCACCAATAATGCTAACGTTAACAGACAAAAGAGCTTATAAATCTAGTACTATTTTCCATGGGAAGGGGATATACACATATTCTGCAATAGATTTGGTGTATCTAGTACCTAGTAGATGTAGGAAAATAATTCTTGTTGTCAAGACTAATAATCAAAGGTAGGAAAATAATTTTTATTGTCTAGACCAATATTCAAAGGTATCTCTAAATTTCAATATGTGAACTTCTCCAGGCTTGCCATGGAAACTAAATTACAAGAAATCGAGCGAAGGAAAATTGATGAGGAGGCTCAAAAACATGCAGAGAGAGAAAAAACAGAAGAAAGGATTCGTGCTGCCATGGACCAGAAGGATATTGCTGAACGAGAACTTCTTGTTATAAAGTATGATTCCAATTTACTTTGCAGCAGATATCCCAGTTTAGTCTATAAAGGATATTTAATGTGCAGCAGATATCCCTGTTTAGTCTATAAAGGATATTTAATGTGCAGCAGATATCCCAGTTTAGTCTATAAAGGATATTTAATGTGCAGCAGATATCCCTGTTTAGTCTATAAAGGATATTTAATGTGCAGCAGATATCCCTGTTTAGTCTATAAAGGATATTTAATGTGCAGCAGATATTCCAGTTTAGTCTATAAAGGATATTTAATGTGCAGCAGATATCCCTGTTTAGTCTATAAAGGATATTTAATGTGCAGCAGATATCCCAGTTTAGTCTATAAAGGATATTTAATGTGCAGCAGATATCCCTGTTTAGTCTATAAAGGATATTTAATGTGCAGCAGATATTCCAGTTTAGTCTATAAAGGATATTTAATGTGCAGCAGATATCCCTGTTTAGTCTATAAAGGATATTTAATGTGCAGCAGATATCCCTGTTTAGTCTATAAAGGATATTTAATGTGCAGCAGATATCCCTGTTTAGTCTATAAAGGATATTTAATGTGCAGCAGATATCCCTGTTTAGTCTATAAAGGATATTTAATATTTTTCTCCTGTGAAAATCTCAAGCAAACAAAAATATCAGTATATGCTATGGAAAACCATTTAATTTGGTCTCTGTCTTTTCAAAGGTGCTGGAATCAGTGACATAATCTTAATTGTTGTATAGTAATGATATCACATCTGACATCATATAACAAATTGTTAAATTCAGTTATATATTTCACCAGCAGATGTCATGTTTCTTGAGGAATAATAGTTACATTTTATTAATTTGGGTTGGGGAAAAAAAACAAAACATCAAAATTTGCACTATGTAAGATTATATAATTCATTATGTGACTAATACAGTTCTAGGCAAATGTTTCTCCTTCCATGTAAAGAAAAGTAAAACAACCTGTGATACAGTTCTAGACAAGAATTTTAAGCTCCGTAAAGCAATATAAAACAACCTGTGATACATACTAACTTGGTGTATTGAGGTAAGGCAGCAGGTTTGGAAGTGTTGAGACCTGAACATCTTTTGGTTGTGCCCCAGAAATGGAATAGGTTTGGCAAAGAGTTCTTTAACCTGGGCTATATATATAAATACACCATAATTTATGTAAGAGTATCATGTAGGTAAATTTGCTATGTAATTTTGTGTTGGCATCTCTTCTATTTTTACAGATATTTTACATTATTTCTTTTCTGTTACAGGACAAAACTAACTCACTCACACTCTACATCAGACCAACTCGAGAGAGAGAGGCGAGAAAACTCTGAATTGAAAAGTAAACTCAACAAAGTGGAAACCGAACTCAACAGTTTTATGGGAAATGAACACGAAATGACAGATGAAAATATTAGGTTACGCAATCAAGTAGAACTCTTAAAGGAGGAAGTGAAACTGACAAAAGATCAGTTACATAGAATTCAAGATAACCATGATTTAATAGTGGCTCAACAGAAAACTGCCTTCACTGATGATAGAGCGCAACTTGAATTACGGGTACATGAACTGGAAAACAAACTGGGCATAGCTCAAAAGAAATATCAAAAGGCTTGTAGTGTTTACAAAAAGGTAGGATTTATATTTATTTTTTTACTTTTATGCTATTGATTGAGGTTTTCATTTAACATTTGACATTTTTCAACTTCAAAAGTCTAATTACAGGGCTCTCACACCCCATTTTGGGACTGGGGCCCGGGGCCCTTTGAATTGGGAAAAATAATGGTGTTTTCCTTATAATTGGGAAACCTTGGGGTCTAAATTGGGAAAAAAAGATAGTATTTTGCATTGGGAATCGGCCCCAAATCTGGCAGATCGAGAGTCCTGAATTACAAATTTGAAATGGTAAGAAAAATTACATATCTCTGCTTCAATATAAATAATGATTTATGCTAATTTTCATTGTTACAAAATGCAGTTATCTCTTAATATTACCTTGTTTTTCATCTCTATTTCATCAAGTAGTAGGTTTAATAATTACGATAGTTAACTTTCAGTACACACGTCCAGAATAGCTTGCTAGCTGATCTTAATGTACATGTATTGGTCATCAGCATTAAGATATCTGGAAATTAAAATCTATTAATGAGCAGGTAGGAAACAGAAATGTCCCTTCAAAGCCAAGAGTCAAAACTCCTGGTTGGGAGTCCATACTGTCTGTGGTCTGCTAAATGCCCTGGCACAGTTCTTTTTTTTCATCAACAGGGCAAAAATAAGTTGAATACAGAGTAATAAAACCTTATACAGTAGTTTTTTCTTTAATCTAGCTTTATAGGGAGGTTGTAATGGTAAAACTAGAGACTGTGTGAACAGAAATGTTTTCTGCATCTGCTCACAACAGTGCTGTTACACATGTAGCTTAATAAGCTTAGCTGGGTTAAACCAAACTTTGAATGAAGTTTAAAGGTTGAAACCTGAAAGTGCTTGTCACATTGGAGGAGCGATGCAATGCTAGATCTTCATTTATGAAGTTGTGGTAAATTTTCTGTAATTTGTCTCACCGATACCGATATTATATAATTATATCTATGATTTAAATAACCTATTGATTATAGTCCTTTGAAATTTATTGACAGTATAAGAAACGCAGTCAACATGTAGTGGAGAATACTCGAGACCGTCTTCAACTGATGGAGGCTAAAAATGAGGAGCTGCAGTTGGAAAAAAAAGCTTTAGAGTAAGTATACTGTTTCAGTCAATGGCGTAGCTGTTTAGTAGCTGACTTACATTCATACCATGTTCAAGCTAAGCTGAACCATACTTTATAAACAGTAGTCGTTGCATGTTGTTTGGCATTTTATATGATCAGTTGGTTGTTTTAGGGGGAAAATATCATGAACTGATCCATTGAACATAGCTATTTCATAATTATATTTTGAGTTCAAACGATTCTTATGTAGTAGAGGGTGGTACAAGGAGAGGGTATGTGTCTCTGTAGGTGAAGTAGATTTCCTTGACAGGTATGGCAATCTTGACCTGGTCAAGTAAAGATGATCATGGTAATCGTGTTGGGTTTCATTTTTATCTGCTACACATACCAAATTACTGTGAGTTTGTATTTGGTTTCAGAACACTGTGAAATACATGGACTTGATGTTTAAAGTATGCAGAGATTGGCATTCCTAGAGTGCTGAAGTTGACCCAATTAGATTAAAATACAGATCCTATTTCTCACTCCATTACTTTCTGCTTACAAAGGATCTGACAACATCCCATAAGAGGTCATGCTCTGTGACCTTTTGCATTAGCCAATCAAATTACCATTAACAGAATCTTGAAAGTAAATGAAAAGTAAATAGATCATGGAAAAGTCACAGAACATGATGTTGTCAGATCCTTTATGAAATAGATTAGGAATAAAAAATCTGCATTTTAATAAGACTGAGGTTGACCGCATGTGAGTATCTAATTTTGCTCTAAAGATCTAGTGTCAGTGTCTCTGTTTGTAGGTCCTGTGTGCCTCAGGATACCTACAATAAACTGAAGAAGCAGTGGAAAGACCTCCAGAGACGTCACGGAGAATTTCGCCGCTTCCTACTCTCAACAGGGGGTTTACAGCAGGTGGCCATCGGAGACATGTCATTTGGATCTGTGAACCTGGCAATGGATGCTACCCTCATACCTAATGTCAGCTTCACAGAGCAGGTAGGCAGCTTTATCTTGATAACTCAAAAAGTTCGCAACATAGTACAGCATAGTCTGCTGTGACTGTACTCTTCTATACTGTTCTAAATCCCTGACAGTAACATAGTTCAATCACAACTTGATGATAGCCATCCATTGTATTTATGTCATTTCTTTGTATCAATAATCAATATATTTATTTTACATTCATTTTGACATTTTTTGACGTTTTATATTTTTCTTTTACATTCTTTTTATCACAAAAAGTTATGTATAAACCATTAACCACTGGTGTACCATCTAGTTGCCCACATCTTCTGTTAATTGTAAATCTGTCAGAGATCTGGCATTTATCTTGGTACACTCTATACAGCTGTTATTTTTTAGTCATCATGTAGTGTAATTACCGTTTCATTTTTACATGTCCTACCTGAATGTACCAGTACTGTAATATTGTATTTTCTGTGTCGGAGAGGTTGCCAAATTTAATAATTTATCAATTTTACGTGTGAAAGAAGCAGAACAGAACTGACACCAGAAAAATATGGTGTAACTTTTAGAAAAAGAAATGAAGACTATAATTATAATAGACATCTTTAGGTATAATTCTGAATTTTTGTATTTATTGTATACAACAAATATCATAGATTATGCACTTGGATTAAATTGATAGTTAAGTGAATGGGTAACTAATTTAATTTACATATTTTCTGTAATAGATTGAATAGTTTTGAACACACATCATGATTTGGCACCCTTGACTGTTTGTTGATGACGATGCTCTAATCCTTCACCTCACCTCTTTGATTTCCAGCCCAAAACTCAGTAGATAGTACTGGCTTGAGGTAGGATGCCAAACAGCATCGCTGTTCATCTCTGTTGTATATAAGCTGTCCTGGCATTGAGGAATTTCACAAGCCTACATTCATCTACATTCTTGCATCTTAATCCTGTTATCATAGCAAGCCTTTCTGTACATTGAACATCCCCTGTAACTACAATGCAGCGTGTTACAGTTACCGCTTTTGTTATCAACCTTCTTGCTTTCCTTATTATCATACCTGGTTGTCTAAACTGTATTATACTTCAGAGACCCTTCTGTTTTTATTGTATATTGCTTCTCTATGTATTATTTAGGATTTTCACACTTTTTTTTAAAATGAGATAGCAAATATTTATGCTCATTTTGCAATTGCATACTACCACAATGTGTTTCACTTTTGTTTATTAGCTCACCTGGCTTGAAGGGCCAAGTGAGCTTATGCCCTGGTGCAGCCTCTGTCGTCTGTCATCAACTTTTTCCATTTAACAACTTCTTCTAAATAATCATTGGAACAAATGTTTTGATATTTGGCTGGTATGTTCCTAGGATGAAGCCCTACAAAGTTTACAAAAAGAAATGACTCGAGTTATATTTAAGGTCACAGGGGTCAAATTTCTTAAAATATTGAAACAAATTCTTCTCATGAACTAAAAGGCCTAGATGCATGATATTTGGTTGGCATGTTCCTAGGATAAAGCCCAACACAGTTTTCCATAGAAATGACCTTGACCATTGTACAATGTCACAGTGGTCAAATATCTTAAAACCATCAAACGGCTTCTTCTCTTGAGCTAAAAGGCCTAGATGCATGATATTTGGCTGGTATATTCCTAGGATAATGCTTGACACAGTTTACCCAAAAAATGACCTTGAACCTTATTCAAGATCACAGGGGTCAGATATGTTAAAACATTTAAACAACTTCTCACTAACAACTTCTTCTGACTAAACAAAAGAGGCAGAAGCATGATATTTGTCTGTTAGGTTCCAAAGATGATACCTGACACTATTCATGAAAAGAAATTACCTTGACCCATATTGAAAGTCACACAATCAAATTTGTTGAAACCTATGAAAGACTTCATCTGGTAATAGAAAAGCCCAAGAACCAAGATATTTTGTTGAATAGTGTTTCTAGGTCAAAGCCCAACAAATTTCATGGTGAAAAAGAAATAGCATTTTTCCATAATCCAGTTTATAACTGTCACTGTTTAGAGTTGATTATTGGAAGTGGTTTGTTGTGAAAATTGGTTAAAATGATTGGATGTGCCCACTCTGAATGCCGAAAGTATACATATCAATATATATGTGATATTAACACTGATTCTATTGTTGATGAACATTGAATAGCAGGTGAACAATGCAGGCCCATTGGACCCCTTTATTAATTATTAATTTTCATACAAAGTTTAATGTACAGTTTTGCACAGATAATTGTTTTTCACCAAGTTTTTACCATACTGAGTAGTTGCACAACATTTTTGTCTCATTTGTCTTTAATGTTAATTCTACTTTTCTTTCATTTTTTTCCTGTTCTTTAATCAAGTTGCTGGTAACTAGCTGTGTTTTATTATAGATGCAATTAACACCCTTCAGGCCTGTCCCTTGCCCTATACCCATTTACTGTCAAACAAGGAAAAGAAAAGCCATACAGGTGTAACAATTGTGAAATTTCTCAATACACAGGCATACATTGAATGTTTACTGGTTATGTAATCAATATTGACTGGTTAGATTTGGAATGTCATTCTGTACCCAAGGAAAGAAATTCTTCGTAAGGAACATGGAATTCATGAAAATTTTACTAAAAAAAAAAAAAAAAAAACAAGGTGTAAGGATTATGACAAGAGTACAATAATGAAAGATGACAGAATAAGACTGGTCAGTGCTGATGTTGTTAATTGCATGCATTGATAGGATAAGATCACTGGGGTCCTGTTAGGCGAAAACCCATACCTGTCAACTTACAGAGAAACCAGTGGTGTGTTGTCCTTATTGACGTTCCTGCATGTCCACACATGTCTGTGTTGTAAACATTTGTTCCTAGCTATTGATATATACTTGATTATACAGAGCACTATATCATACAATTATTTCTAATTATCAATCAAAGATTAACATTCTTTATCCAATGTAGAGTATCCCTGATATTTAACAGGCACTAGTTCTACAGAAAATGATCATTTGGTACTATTGATAGCTTTAATTGCTGACTGCTGGCAATTGAAATTGGTTATTTTGAAGATACATTGTACTGTTATATATATATACAGCAAATTTATAAAGTATTTGTAGATTTTGTACTAGTTGCTTATGAAAGATTGAAAGGAGGGCACAAGTACTTATAGCTATCAACAGTCTATCAGAGGTTTTGTAGAAATCACCTTTATATTTCTTTATATCTGAACTCTGTTGCTATGTTGTCATCGTATAGAAAAAGTCATTGAAAGGTTTACTTCCTTGTGTGTTTAAATCACATGAAATAATATCATTTGCTATTTGAAGTATTCTTAGACTTTCTTTTTAACCATAAAAGTAAAAATTTGAATTAGTTTCCTAGTAGTAAGTACAGTCAACCACTGATCCAAAGACTTCATGAGAGCACCATGCCTGGTATAAATAAATCTGGTAAATTAAAGTTGAAGGTGAGGTAAAAAAAAATTAGTTCTATATAAACATGAATGATGCTGAAATACAACCTGAAGGCATGTTTAAATAAATGTACTGTTATTTCAGGAGAGGAAACACCAGGAAGACTTGCGTTTACTCAAACAGCGTCTGGACATTGTTGATAACAACCAGCAACATCAACTGGAGGAGCTTCAGGAGATTGCCCACAGTACATTTAAGGGTTCCTTGCCTGGTGTAGAGGACCTGTCTGAGGGGCCTCATACAACTAAGGAGTTGGATAGAAACTTTAAGGACAATGTTACAGCTACTATGGGAGAGGATATCGATGATTATGAAGATGATTATGATGATTCAGACAGTATTGAAAAAGCCGACACAGAAAAGTCAAGCTGATGTGTTTCCTCTGTTCTAGGCCTTTGTATCTGTGATAGTAACTTGTCAAATTTTGGTGTCATGTAAGGTGCATACTCAATAGGACTATTTTTATAACAAGCCTTTTCTAAACTTCTTTGTACTTTTTCTATGATTTTAGAAAATCATCGGGTAAATTTTACTAGTTTTTACCTTCTTAGACACGAGTTATCCGATTAGAAATCTTGAATTAAATTTAACAATTGATATCAAAAGCCTGATGGTGTGTGTACGAGATGTTAGCTCCTGCTGGGTGTGGTGATAAATCCTCTGTCACACATGACAAACATGTAGTACAGGCGTCTGTTTCAATTTTAATATTTTTGAATGTTTAGAAAGAAGCATTACAAGTTTAACAATTGAAAAATGTTCTCTACTATGGAACAGTAAATAACTTTTAACACCTGGCCTTCAAAAAAAAAAGGGGGGGGGGGGGGGGGCGCAGAATCTGGAGTTATAAGTGCTTTATGTTGCCAAAACTATTGGCTTTATATATTGGATATAATACTCCCTATTTATCAGTCACAACATGTATTACACATCATTTCTGTTTAACCTCACGGTAATAACATGTTCACTTGAGGTACTGGATTGCATAAAGTACCAGTAGTTGGATGTAAGAATCATGATAAGTACACATGTATTTATTCGGCGAGTCATTCAGTTCTCTTCTTGCTCACTTTATTCCATAATATAACACACAAGAATTGTTGTCAGGGCTAACGATAATTTTTGTTTGGGGACTTTGGCACAATAACCACTGGTGTAGGCCAAGAAAAGTGATCAACCTTGTTCTATCAGTTTTCATTTCTCCGGTCACATAATGAAGTATTGGATCATGTATATTTTTGTTATCAGTATTTAATATTTTAGTGTAGGATGTTATCAATTATGGTTTCTTGAATCCTACTGTAGATAAAAGTCAGACTTAATATCTGCACATCAAAACACGAATAGTCTTTTTTATATTAAAGTATTTTGCAAAATTCTACACCAACTTTTAATCCAGAACAGCATTTTTAATTGCAATCTTTTTGAAATAATGTTTAGCTGCCAGAATTTGGGAAATTTCTGTGTTGAAATTGAAGTTTCACTTATCATTACATTTCCAAAGTTCTTTCGAGATCTGTATTTCTACTTATATATTTTATGTATTCCTTCATATCTACATTTTACATGTCCAAAGTAATGTTATTGTACATTGTGAATGTAAGATAATAAATTATATTAACTAATGAAGATTTGTTGTGTTGTATACATCAGTCCTGATATCAAGCAGTAACAGCTGGAAGGATAACTTTATATCTGCAGTTCATTAGATAAGTTGAAAACTGTTCAATATGTTGAGGTTGAGGTCTATAATGGCCGTGATTTCCTCTCACAAACATTGTCTCAGACAATAGGTTTAAATTCATCTTTGTTCAAATTACCAACGATCTTTTTTGAAACTTTTATGACAGCTCTACCTCCATCAATGTTATTTATTACATAAAATCAGTTAAAGGTAACAGAATACTTAAAGTGTTGTTACCGTTAGTGGCCTCTTTAGTTCACTTCAGTGAATGTATTTTTAATGTGTCTTCCAACAGCCTCCTTGTTACTCCAGGGATTATGTTCATTATCACTCTCTGCACCCCTGGAACATTTCATGTCCAACAGTGAAGCAGGACATTTCTTGTCCAGTCTACTTTTTTTCCGAATAATAGATATGAATGATATAAATAGTGGTTTAAGTGATGTACTTATCATTGCAACATCATCATTTTCATGAAACATCAAGTTAGGATGTGGTCAAAATGTGTATTTCTCTATTGAAACATGTTTTTAAACCACTTGAAATCTTGAAATGTGTTGCTACAATAACAGATTCCCTAAATAGGGGGAAATTTACCTTTAGAGCAGAATGTTATATTAAAAAAATGAGCTCCGGTCATTGGAATATATAAGTGAGTGTTACATATCAAACTAACATTTTCTCTGATGGCAAATGTGTCTTTCACTACATGCATGGAACTTGTAAAAGTGTGCTAAATGTTTAATAAGCCAAAGTGCATTTTTCATTAAAATCAGAAAGTAGCTCCATCATTTTTTACTTACCTGGCCCGAAGGTGTCACATATAAGAATCGGAGACAACAATGCAAAGAATTCAACTGAGATAGGTTTCGTCTTTATTCTTTAACTGTCCATAGCAGTAAATGTCAAATAAACACATTTTAAAATAAATTTGATTTAAAGTTTTAATGACTAGTACTTCATTTATCAAATGTACAAATCTTTTAATACTGCTATAAACTGTAATGAATACTTGAGACATAAATTTATTAATAAATTACAAAACTACTTACATGTTTTATCATGATTAGATGTGTATGTTTAGAATTATATATTTGTTTCCCCTGTCTTAAATATATGAACTTGTGTCTACCGCCAGCATTTAATGCACACATGTTGAAAGTCTCTATCCATCAAGCATCTATCAATTAAAACCTTAACCTACCAATCAGTAACTTTTTAAAGCCTTGCTAAAAAGTATACAATTTACAGAACAATTCACTGAACCAAAAGATCGAGACCACTAAAAACATATGAAGAAATATGATCATATGAGATCATTGAAAAGCACCAACCAGCAGTTTAATACTTGCCGCCATGCTCAATTGTTTAAGGAGTTCCCTTAACAACATGCTTTAAATGGCCTTCATTTCAAAAGAGTCCCTTCCTGATCATGACAGCTACTATTTGGTGGAATTAGGAATTAGTTTTTCCATCACGATCATATTCATAATTCAACCATATTCATCCATAAAACATTTAAAATTTGTGCTTATTGAATTAAGATTGAATGGGTTTTTGTCTATTAAACTCAATTTCTTCCCAATAAAAATACAGAGTTTATAAAAACATGAACCAGGTATGAACACTTATTTTGACACAATAAATTAATATGCTCAATCCTTTACGATAACATCAACTTCATCACTGTCATCATTGATGTCGTCGTCTCCAAAGGTAGCCTCTGACAAGCCCATGTCACGTGACCTTGCTGCAGCCATGGCAGCCACATTTGAAGAGAAGGCCATGTTTGCCCCAGAGAGACGCGCCACTCTCTCCGTTAATGTCTCCTGACCCTTAATCAATGGGTTGTCAATAGAGACATAATCTTCCTGGTCACCTGTGTCAAGTTTGTTTTCAGTAGTAGATTGAACCCGTTCTGACTGAATAATTCTACACCAACTGTTTACCAATTCTTCTCCCTCCGATTCAGAGTCTGTGTATTCAGGAAGTCTGACTTTCCGTTGTTTGTATCTCGAGGAGAAATGCTCTGATTCAGAGTCCTCACTTTGCTCCCCTGATCCATCCTGAACATACTTGTTATATTCTGCTTGATTACAATTTGATTCCTCATTTAAAGTATCCAAAGGATAATCACATTCAGTTTGTTTACAATTTATTGAATCCTCTGTGCTATGCTCGTCCTTCAAGTGTCGAAACATCTGTACACGTAGTTCTTCACTTGTACAGTTAAATAATCTGTTTCTAGTTTTACCATCATAAGACTGTCTCTCAAGGTCACACTGCAAACAAGCATTGTCAGCCACAGTATCTGGTGTCTGTTTAGCACTTTTTACAGTTGTCTTCCCATAGTTAGCCACTTTTCCTTGTAAAGTGCTATCTCCTGAAGAGGTATTGTCATCAGACACTGTTCCATTACTTTGCAATCTTGACTTCTCTAATGCTTTGTTTTCTCGTATTTCCCGTTCTGTTGCACGAACAGAAATGACGGATTTCAACTCCATTAGAAGTCTCATAGCTTCTTGTTTTTCTTTCTTCTTTTTAGCCTGTAATATGAAGAACCAAGATTTTGAGGACATATGTTTAATGGTCTGGATACCATGTTGTGATGGTCTAAGGTATCAAAAAAACCCAAGGCCCATCAGAGATGGGTTATTCTCCCCATTTGAGACAAAATTTAAGTATGAACAAGAGTCTTAGCAGCCTTGACGGTCACCTGTGATAAGCAATATTGAATATAAAGGTTAAAGGTTAGTTATCAAGGGTCATGAAACAGAAATTGTGACACTAAATATAGACAGTGTCAATACATACATTCCTGGGGAAAATAACCAACGTTATGCTCAAAGATGCAATTTAAAACAAACTTCCTCCCCAGGAAGAAATGTGAGACCCATTTTGGTAATTAAAGCACCTTCCATGCTTCCATTCATACGGAGCATTTGATTCTACTATACCTTGGTGCTGAGAAGAAGATTTTTGAAATTTAAGTAAATTTGACCTTTTTTGTCCTGCCCATCAGCCCTTTTGGGGTCACCCAGGATCTATATGGGCATACTATCAAGTTGTCATCCTTTGCTCATAATTCTGACTAAGTTAGAAATATTTTCAATCAAAATAAAACTGATTATCCTCAAAAATCTATTTTTCCGATATTAACTAAAGCAAAATTTACACCCTCCCCATGGGGAAATGCAAGACCTGGGGCCATGAAATTCACAATTTTGGCAAAACACTTAAAGATCTTCCATTCATGAAGAGTATTTCATTTGACCATATCTGGAGTTTGTGCAGAAGACTTCTCAAATTTAAGTAAATTTGAGGGAGCCTGTGTAAGTTTATGCTAGCCAAAGCTTACCTTTTCTTCTGGTGTTATGAATTCATCCCAAGTGTTCTGATAGCTTTCAACGGGGTCTTCTGTAATATATGCTTCAAACACCTGCAAAAACAAATACCCTGGTAAACAACATATGTTTTATATATTAATGTATACACAGTATATGTGATTTCAGTTTAGTTTGTTTATTGCTGTTTTACTTCCTGTTATTTACCAGGGTCAGTTAAGGATATGCCAGGTTTGAATGGTGGAGGCAAGCTGGAGTTCCCAGATATAAACAACCAATATGCGGCCAGAACCTTTTCCTCTGTCGCCCCAATGTCGTTTAAAGTATTTATAACTACTAATATGAACTGTTAAAAAACCAACTCTACATGGCTGATTTCCGTGTAAATGTTTGAAATAAAAAGGAAATGTTTCAAAATCATAGCATGACAGATGAAGTTACATACCTGATCTTCTATAATGGGATCACCCATTTCAAACAAAGGGATGGGCGGGACATCTGACTGGACCTCTTTTGAAACAGCATCTGTCTTCAAGGGGTTTGCTTTAAGGTAATTACAAAATTACAAAAACATGTGGAAATGGTTCTTTTTATCAAAATGCTTAGAAAGCTGTCCTTTATAAAAAAAAAACAAAGCTTCAGAAAAACCCTTAAAGATTCAACTCATATAAGCATACCATTAAATCTATTGTCTTGCTATTAAATTACTAATTTTTTCTATTTATATCAACACGTTCCTGTTAATCAATTTTGAGAAATGGAGAAATTTCAGGCAGTCCTTCTAGTCAGAATTTAAAAAAGAAACAGAGTTAAATATATGACATCCACGAAGATTAAAAACGAAAGTAAAACAATATTGTGGTTAGACTGATATTTTCTTTTTCATGATTGCATAATTTGAAAAATGATATTTAAATATGTACTTATTTTCTGTTTTGAGAGGAAATTTCCCCATGTTTTCAGTATACACTGTATTTTCTTCATGGGGAATTTGTTTATAATCTGAGAGGAAAACATACCTCTTGGGGAACACTAGCCTATTCTGGTTGTAAACTTTGTCTAGATTAAATCCTGTTAGACATAGATATAGAGGCACATGTTTGCCTAAATCCATCTTTATCTATCTGAAAGTATGCTCTAATGATAACCTGGAGGAAAAGAAATCAATCAACTTTTAAATAGAAGAATAAAAAACAATAATAAAACTTTGATGGCAGCAGATATATCTTACCTTCTTTGCTGACCTTGACCTTTTCCAGTTTCTCAAGTCGACTGATTCCTTCTTCCCAACATGCCTTACAGGCATGCAACTCATGTTTCACCTGCAGACGGAGTTTATCATAGGCATCGTTTACTCTGAGCTGGTCAGTGTGACCTTCATCACCATGGTCAAGATGACCTGCACTGCTATGGTCAATGTGTGTCTCCAAGAGGGAAGAAAGTGACCGCACCCTAAGGATATATGACATAATATAAAAACAATGAAAATACTGACATGTCAACAGAATCTGTATTGAAACTCTTTAGTGACATGTGGACAAAACCTGAACAAAAAAAGTACAGGGAGAATAATACTAGGTGTTCCTGAAAGGTAAGCATCTTCATAAATATGGATCATGCTACAGTTTCAAAATAATCTTAACTAGATTTTTGCTGACTTAATGAGGCCATAGATTGATTACCTGAGCCAGGCAGCTTGTAGATGGAGGTCAAGACTATGGACAGCCATATACGTCTCTCTGAGGGGGTGGGCGTCATCAGGAGTATACTTTGGGGTCTGTGTCCCCTTATCCTCTATCAAGCAAGCGTGAGATTTGTACATCTGCTCTAGTGACCATGTTTTCTTAGATATGGGGGTATGTATACCAGTCACTAAGGCCTCCATCTCAGTTGTCTCTAATCTCAAACCTTCTTCACCTATAAACAGTATTCCAGTTATTCCATAATTGGTGAATAAAAATTCAAAAGTGTAGGGCATGTACATGTATACTGATTTATGTAATGAGTGTTGCCGATTGGAGCATTAATATCTCTTACTAGATAACTCCTTAGAATGATGAAATCACAAACTCTCGACAACAATTCCTTTTTTACATTTTTAAGAGCATTCTAGTCTGTAGCTAATAAAGCTTCATCTTGTATATAAAACACAAACAAAAAGGGAAATAAGAACCATGAGTACCAGTGAAACTGATGAATGCTCCTTGAAAACAACTTAAGTGGACACAAAATTCGAACAAAGGGCAATAATTCTGTAACAAAGTTGATTACAGGACCTGAATTTGGTGTACTGTACATTTTCTTAGTATGACCAATGTATACATAGTTTTTAGCAGGGCTGAAATTTGTATGTTTTATTTTATTGTATTACAGACTGCCAGCTGTCCGTAATTATATTGTGCTCATGTAAAAGTCGCGTCCGTGTACCGGGTCCCATGTTGTGATTATAGGTGTACAGGTGTATTGTGTTGCTCAGTTGGAGTTTTGTTACGTTCGTGTCCCATGGTGTGGTTTGTCCAATTTCCATAAGTGAGTTGTTTACATATATTGGCGAATTTATATTGGTAGGTTCTTATGGTCAGTTTGGCACGTGTTTCTTTGTGTTTCAAGTCTGTTTAGGCAGTACCTTTAGTAGACTCCTGGCAGGACGGACATATTTTTGAATGTAAGAGTTTGAATGATTTTTATTAAGTGAGGCAACGCTATCATTTTTATATCCATATTTGGTTATCAAGTTAATATGATTAGTTAGATATAATTAATCATGATTATTGATTGAAATTGTGAAATCTAGAAACAAATATTACAAGATTCACTTTGTCAAATTCCCAAAGTCGTATGATTTAAATATGTTTCTGTTTTCATATGAATTTGAGATTTGGAAATATTTTTGAGTCCATTTTTTTATTTGTCCTTTACAGTATTAAAACAGAATCGCTCTAGACGTCTATTTGGTCAGAATAAAGACTTTGTGCCACACGCAGGTACGATGTGTTCTACAATGTTATTTGATGTCAATTGGTACATGTAATGTTCCAAGAATATAATTTTATTTATAATTTACATCTATTATTGTAATTGGAAATAATTTGAATGACGTATGCAAAGTGTATAGGTACGTGTCAAGTTATATGCCATATGTGGGTAAGTGTAGATTTTAAGTACTTGTAATTTTATCTGTTGTTCTAGGGCTGGTGATCCAAAATTCTTGTCAACAATAAATGACAGAACGTAACTCAGAGGAGTTTGTTTTAACTTATTCTGCAAACAACCAGATCTACCACAGTTTCATGATCCTAGTTTGAATGCAAACAAACCTATGCTCGTGACGAAATTTTATGGACAATAACTATGTACCTGAGGGATCATTGGCTTTGACATTACTGCACTGCACCTTGCTTTTGTATGACTAATGCATTATCATATTTCAATATCACAGTGCATTTAAATGCATGCAAAGTGATGCCCGGACACAAAAATTTAACAAAGGGCAATAACTCTGTAATCAAGGTGACGTGGGCCCTAACATCATATGATCCTTGCTTAACTGTGTGCAAAGTTATGCTCAGGGCTCAAAATATTTAACAAATGGCAATAACTCTATAATTGAGGGGTGGAGGGTTCCGAATTTTGTACACTGCACATTTTCTAAGTAAGATCAATATATCCAACAAGTTTCATTAGCCTTGTTAAAATTCAAGCAAATTGACACGTGCTCTATCCACATAATTTTAACAAAGGGCAATAACTCTTTGATTTAAGGATTGAAGGCCCTGAATTTGATATACTGCACGTCAACTTAGTATAACAAATGTATACACCAAGTTTCCTGATCCCTGCTTAACTGTGAACAAAGTCATGTTCTGGACACAAAAGGACAGAGGAAAAGACGGATGGACCGGTGGACATGGTGGCAACTACATGCTCTCGGAAATTCGGGGAGTCAAAAAAAAAAGCCAAAATCTTCAAATCTTTCAATTCAAAGCTAATGTAACCTAACCCTTCTATTAACTTTTGATCTGGTTTTTAACTTGATAACAATATGAGTTACAGTCAAATGTATGTAGTATTGTGGCAATAGTTAAACAGGCCTGAACTAGAAGAAATAGAAAACAATGTAACAGTAATTTTCATATTGTCATAACAGTTCACATCATGAAATATGAAGTAAACTGACGAAACAGAATTAGCTCTTAAACATGTACACCAATGTTATCACAATCAATGTGAACATATCAGTAAATGTTTATGTACCAGATAAGGTAAAGCACAGCAGTGTGAACCTACACTTACCTGAATAACAGAGGACGAAGGTCAAACGTCTGAACAGTTCAGATATATGCAGGTCACACAAATGTTTAATCCCCTAAAAAACAATTACCTGCAATTAATAAATTAAACTAAAAGCCAATGAAAAGTAGAACAAGAAAGCAAAGGACAAAAAAAACCTGTCTGTATAAAATCTTTACTTTAAGCAAATCAATTTCATTGTTTGTTTGTTAATCATATTTATTCATTTAAGGATTCATTAAATTTGTCTCAAAACCAACTCAATTTATCATCCCATGAAATCGACATAAGCAAGATTCAATCCTTATATTTCAATTCACGCTTCTTTTTTCTATAGCATGGGAACTGAAGCAATTTATCTTCTACTTAGATTTTCAATTCTTGTCATCATATCGTTTGACGTCAAACAAGCAAATAGTCCGTCATTTGAAGACAGGTTATTGTGACAGGTTGAAATATGTTTCAGCATGGTTACTTAATATTCTATGAAATTTAAATAAGAACAAAATTTAATATGTTTTTGGACAACTTTAATAAAAATTTTGATAATTCTATGCAACAAAGACAATATGCATCTTTTTCCCGCAGAATAATAACGTCTAGACGTGGTGCGCCAGTTCGCAAACGAAGCGATGTCGGCCTTTTTTTTACAGGCATCGAAGCGAAGAACAAGAAATATCAGGCTTCAGTCGCTTCACATCTTTTGAAACGTAAAGTTACAGTTATTAAATGTTGAATACATAATTCTTTTTTTTTTCAAATTTTATTATTAGTTTTCAATAGTTTTTAAAATTTTATTTTGATGTTTTTAAATCTCATACTTGTTGTATATTGGCAGTGTAGTAGAAGTTGGGGAGTTATCTGCCCATACCTAATATTTGTATTCATACGCACTGGTCAAATTCATCAGTAAATGAAGCAGATCACATTAAGTAGTTTCATCGAGTCTGATTTGGGTAGAAATTGAAATATAAAATGATATGTTACCTTCAACGAGGCAACAGAAAATCCATCAGTGATGTTGTACAGGTGTGACCTCCCCTCCTCTCCGTCCCCATCAGTCTGTACACATGGACCATATTCTTTTACAGGTACCTGGGCCAGGTAATTTAAAGCTCCATCTAAGTCCCCACTAAGGGGGTAACTAGTCATATAGCTAAGGAGAATATCTTACAAATCATAAAGGATAATACTGGGACTGAAAAAGAAATTTCAAAATGTCTTCAAAATGGAGTGAGAAGATGATGTAAGTTACACTTGTATTGTTGACATTAAATATACATTTCAGACTGCTCTGACAAGTTAGTAAGACTTTACAAGTCTTAAAGTAAGATACTTTGTATTAATTTGTACCAAAACTTTAGCCTTGTTTAAGACAAAATGGCTGAGACTGTCCATCTTAGTATAGGGCTCACGGCAATTCTCTAACAAGTCCTGCCGTTTACCAAGTCAAGAGATCCATACCACATTCTTACAGTACAGACTGTGAGACCAAAGTCCTATATCTACAAGTAGCCCCAACATATGTATTCTTTACAGCACAGAAAGTGAGACCAAAGTCCTATTTCTACAAGTGGCCCCAACATATGTATTCTTTACAGTACAGACAGTGAGACCAAAGTCCTACAAGTTACCCCAACATATGTATTCTTTACAGTACAGACCAAAGTCCTATATCTACAAGTTACCCCAACAAATGTATTCTTTACAGTACAGACAGTACAGACCAAAGTCCTACAAGTTACCCCAACATATGTATTCTTTACAGTACAGACAGTGAGACCAAAGTCCTACAAGTTACCCCAACATATGTATTCTTTACAGTACAGACAGTGAGACCAAAGTCCTACAAGTTACCCCAACAAATGTATTCTTTACAGTACAGACAGAGAGACCAAAGTCCTACAAGTAACCCCAACATATGTATTCTTTACAGTACAGACAGTGAGACCAAAGTCCTACAAGTTACCCCAACATATGTATTCTTTACAGTACAGACCAAAGTCCTATATCTACAAGTTACCCCCAACATATGTATTCTTTACAGTACAGACAGTACAGACCAAAGTCCTATATCTACAAGTAGCCCAAACATATATATTCTTTACAGTACAGACAGTGAGACCAAAGTCCTATATCTACAAGTTACCCCAACATATGTATTCTTTACAGTACAGACCAAAGTCCTATATCTACAAGTTACCCCAACATATGTATTCTTTACAGTACAGACAGTACAGACCAAAGTCCTATATCTACAAGTAGCCCAAACATATGTATTCTTTACAGTACAGACAGTGAGACCAAAGTCCTACAAGTTACCCCAACATATGTATTCTTTACAGTACAGACCAAAGTCCTATATCTACAAGTTACCCCAACAAATGTATTCTTTACAGTACAAACCAAAGTCCTATATCTACAAGTTACCCCAACAAATGTATTCTTTACAGTACAGACAGTGAGACCAAAGTCCTACAAGTTACCCCAACATATGTATTCTTTACAGTACAGACAGTGAGACCAAAGTCCTACAAGTAACCCCAACATATGTATTCTTTACAGTACAGACCAAAGTCCTATATCTACAAGTTACCCCAACATATGTATTCTTTACAGTACAGACAGTACAGACCAAAGTCCTATATCTACAAGTTACCCCAACATATGTATTCTTTACAGTACAGACCAAAGTCCTATATCTACAAGTTACCCCAACATATGTATTCTTTACAGTACAGACAGTACAGACCAAAGTCCTATATCTACAAGTAGCCCAAACATATGTATTCTTTACAGTACAGACCAAAGTCCTATATCTACAAGTAGCCCAAACATATGTATTCTTTACAGTACAGACAGTGAGACCAAAGTCCTACAAGTAGCCCAAACATATGTATTCTTTACAGTACAGACCAAAGTCCTATATCTACAAGTTACCCCCAACATATGTATTCTTTACAGTACAGACAGTACAGACCAAAGTCCTATATCTACAAGTAGCCCAAACATATGTATTCTTTACAGTACAGACAGTGAGACCAAAGTCCTATATCTACAAGTTACCCCAACATATGTATTCTTTACAGCACAGAAAGTGAGACCAAAGTCCTACAAGTTACCCCAACATATGTATTCTTTACAGTACAGACAGTGAGACCAAAGTCCTACAAGTTACCCCAACATATGTATTCTTTACAGTACAGACCAAAGTCCTATATCTACAAGTTACCCCAACATATGTATTCTTTACAGTACAGACCAAAGTCCTATATCTACAAGTAGCCCAAACATATGTATTCTTTACAGTACAGACAGTGAGACCAAAGTCCTACAAGTTACCCCAACATATGTATTCTTTACAGTACAGACCAAAGTCCTATATCTACAAGTTACCCCCAACATATGTATTCTTTACAGTACAGACAGTACAGACCAAAGTCCTATATCTACAAGTAGCCCAAACATATGTATTCTTTACAGTACAGACAGTGAGACCAAAGTCCTACAAGTTACCCCAACATATGTATTCTTTACAGTACAGACCAAAGTCCTATATCTACAAGTTACCCCCAACATATGTATTCTTTACAGTACAGACAGTACAGACCAAAGTCCTATATCTACAAGTAGCCCAAACATATGTATTCTTTACAGTACAGACAGTGAGACCAAAGTCCTATATCTACAAGTTACCCCAACATATGTATTCTTTACAGTACAGACCAAAGTCCTATATCTACAAGTAGCCCAAACATATGTATTCTTTACAGTACAGACAGTGAGACCAAAGTCCTACAAGTTACCCCAACATATGTATTCTTTACAGTACAGACCAAAGTCCTATATCTACAAGTTACCCAAACATATGTATTCTTTACAGTACAAACCAAAGTCCTATATCTTGACGAATGGGAAAAAATTCAGTATTGTATTTAAAAATAAATGAAACAGGAACAACTGAGAATAACAAAAATGACAGAGGTTATGGTTTCCTTAACAGCTGAACAATAAGAGTAAAAACTGTGTGACTAACAGTGTGATAAAAAGATACCAGTTGATAAGGGCCATGGTCTTATCTTTAGCTAAAAGCATGGCCTTCCTTGAAACAAGGAAGAGCAAAGCACGCAGCTGTGGACATTGTCGTTGTGTGCTGTGGAGACTATTCTGTTCTAGTCTGCTTACTGGTGTCTGCTGACTCACCCTATTAAAAAAATTCACTTGACACTGTAATAACAAATGCTACAAGAAAAAAGAACAAGATTGAATTAAGATGATTGTCTCTCTTCTGATCATATGTTTCACAAACTAGATGTTTGACAGTAAAGACACTCTGCACTGATCTCAGTCCTACAGAGATGATTAAGAGCAGACACTCACAACAGTTGTCACAAATATAAAGATATATATAGATATGAACAAATGTCTTGTTGACAAATCCCACAATTTAATGTTACATGGTTAAGATACAGTGATCACACATCTTACAGGGTAAATCCCCGGGCTACAAGCTCTGCTTCCTGGACAAGTCGTAGAGATCGGGCAGTGATACGCAGCAGTCCCTCACAGGAGCTGACAAGTCGGCGGATGTGCTTGGAGCCTCGGGTTAACCTTGACTGATGATGATACAACACAACCCATTTCAAGATCACTGCTACCATGTAACACAGACACAGAAAAGCCATCACATCGGTCAGACTGCGGAATTTCCATGGCATCTCTGGGTAGACTACTCGCCCATACAAGTAGGCCAGGAGACAAGGCAGGGACAATGTTACCAAACTGTTGATACAATGGCAAACATTTCTATTTTTTCAATTATTTGCCGAAAATTATCATTAAGAAAACATGGTAGAAAAACTTTTTTATTAATTCATGTAATGATATGAAATCAATTTTAGAATACCGGGTATCAGCAATTAACATAGCATATTTCTTTGTGATAAATATTTCTTTTACAAAAGACATACAAATATATGTATAAGTTTAATATCATAAAAAGTTATATAATGGCTTACAAAATTTATTGCACCTTCAAAGTGCAGCTGTAAATATACAAGCAAAGTAAACGCCAAAATTTACTAAAATCCCTTCAAAGCATTCCTTCAGTGTGTTAAACAGCAATTAGGATTTACTGTCAGGTGGTATATTTGTCTGATAACCAATAGCAGACATATTTTTTTAGTATTCCAGGGAGTATGCTTTGGATTAGTACAGATTTGTATGCTTACACTGTAGGTCTGACTGTGATACTGTGAGTAAGGGTGTCCCGTATAGGTAACGCTGTATTCAGAAAGTCCATATCCTCTTCTGTCATTAGTTTTGACTTCAGTATCAATTTCAAGATTTCTGCATTGTAAAAACGTGTCTGAAAGAAATGAAATATTTTGAGAGAATGAGACACACAGACCAGATATCGATACATTATAAGAAGAGCTTACTACTCCTGATTCCACTTGATAATACATAAAGGTAATATATAGGTCAAAAGTAAAAATATAGGTTAAGGTTTCAGGGTTCAAAATTAACTATATACAACTAGCAAAATGCCAGCTAAAATCTGTTTATTGCTAGCTGGAAAATAATGAACTAGCAAAAATTTTGCAAGTGGAAATGAAATATACCTAATCACTATTTTTGACGAAACATCTGCCACAAAATGCCTTTCTCCATCTGCCTTTAAATGAGTAATTAGGTTAGACGATAGTCAACAGCCACAGCCTGGCCCTTCTGAAAAAAAATCGTCGAAATCGGAGAGTGTTTCTCCTGACGCTGCTGATACAAAAATCACAACCACGTGCATATACGGCCACGTTAAAAACGGTACGGAAATGGGAAAAAGAATTGAATATTAGTCTAGGATACAACAAATCATCTAGTAATGATGCAATCAGCCATTCTTATCTAATGTCTTTGATATCTTTTCCAATATCACTCAGTTCCTGAAAAACTCAATATATCAGTAAATGAAAGTCAAACCTATTCACCAAAAAATTGCTAGTTTGTTCATCATTTTTGCTAGTGGAAATTTTAGGCACTTGCAATGGTTTGCTAGTGATTAAAATAAGTTAATTTTGACCCCTGAGGTTTTCTGTCTTTAACACAAAATACACACCACCTTCCTAATATATACCCACTAAAGATCCTACAAGATACCGCTTCAGCCATGGGAATGACCAATATCTATTACTTGCTGAGGTCAAAGGTTGCAATATTAATCATAATGACCTACTTTTGGTATGTGACAACAATCTTCCTAGGATATAACAAAATAAAGATAATTTATGTGACAAGAACATCTGATATACCTTGGAAGCCGTTTGTTGAAAACATAAGTCACAGTGACTGTTTTATGTATGAAGCACATAGTCTTCTGAGGATGCCTCACAAGAACAATAAATATTGAAAGTCCAATGCCAAAATAGTATGGGAGAGGGCTTTTAGAAAGAATAAAAAATAGTTTTCTTTTCATGAAATTTAAAATACAGGTAACACTGACCTAGTTATGGTAGATGCCACCAAATCTTCATATCTGGTCATCTACATAAGTTTTATGAAATTATTACCTGTTTTGTTCTGTTGTTGTCACATCAGTCCTGTGTAATTCAGTTAAAATGATGTATTGTTGGATCAATAATAACTGTTCAGTACTTTTTGTAGACAATGCATAACTTTACAGGTGTGGTGTAGTAAAATTATACATTTGATTTAATATATAAAGACAAACAAGTTAATTCTTAACAAAAGAAAACCAGAATTTGCAAGTGAACTCTAACATTAAACTGGAAACAATTATCTTTCAAATAAATCAATCCAAAATGACATAGATCTTTGTGTATAAGATAAGGACACCACAACAGAGTATTTTTAGTATATTTTTTTACTTATATATTGATTTTCTTTATGTAGGTGAAGTTTATAGATAGATTTTTCACTAAAAAGGACTTAAATTTAAAACTTACAAACTATCCAGTTTGTTTGGTTTTTACCAAATAAATATTCAATTAATGAGGATCACAACTAACTATTCCTATAACTATATATGATCAATGAGGTGATAGCAACAGTGCGGACATGCAAATTGTCAAATTTCCGAGGCAACCTGCTCCTTTATCAAGAGACAAACATTACATAAATTATATATATATATATATCTTATCACAGCATCATCCTTAAACTATTGGTTTCTGAAAATATATAGGTCTATAAAAATATATGTATCCAGGTATAAGTTTTGGTATAGGTTTAAAAAAAAGCATGACCCCTGATCCCACACATCAGAACTACAAGGTTTTCCATAATTTTGTTAGTAGTAGGCTGTGTAGTGAAAGTAGGAGGCTGGCCTGCTGTGTACGTGTAGTCATGTACGAAACATTTTTATTGAACTGGATTGGTGTAGGCGGCCAAATGATCAAGGTAGCGGATCAAATTGGCCGGCGACCGGCTCTTACGGAAAACCCTGGAACTAGTACAATCTGATTACCCACCAGTCTCTGTAGGTCCTGTGAAAGTATTGTGAGTCCCAGGAAAGTCATTATAAATCTCCTCATTGATTCCAATGACAGCTTCCATCTTTGAGGTACCTCCTAAATTTAACAGCAAAAGAAAAAGAAGGTGAAATTCAAACATTTATTTAATTAATATTTGGTGTTATTTGCTTTCTGTATTTCTGTTAACATTAGATATTAAGTATATGACAAGCCAATGCAGTGACTGGTAATTATCACATATTTTAAACTGTTTCATCTATATTTATATTTTTTGCTTTGAAAAATTGTTGAATTGATATATGGCTTACAGGTACTTTATTGCAGTTAGACCAAGAGGTCAACACAAACACCTGCAACCCAAGGTCAAGAGTTACTAAGTGTAAACTTCCCTATCTAAACTTGTCAATTTTTTTTGAGGTAGTTACTCTTATCCAGTACTAATGAGGCAACTATATCTAGCACAGTTTTTCAATGTCAGAAGAAGCAAGATTATGTCAATATTGCAAAGATCAGCATTTAGCTTTTGTCACCCAGTGGTCCTTGTGTTCTTTAGCTAGAAAACAAGAACTGTAACATTGGCGCCCAACGGGACCTCTGCAATACTGTAAGGCGGAGTGTGTGGTGGTGCTTGGCACGTGACCGTTCGTTAATCTTCGGGATCTCTGGAAGTCACGATGATGACCCTCTTTCCACAATTACAGACATCCTCAGGATTTTTTTTACTTGTTATGCTTTACATCTAAAAACAGGCTGATTACGTCTCTATATGCTGAATACAGTAGTGTAAATTTTCAATAAAAAATAGGAGTATACATTCCTATTTTTATCAAAATAAAGTAATATTTCCGAATTTCTGAATCACTGAAAACTCTCCATTTTTTTTAAGTATTGCATTAAATAAGTAAAGAAATTCTAGAATCCATCTTCTATAGTTTATAAGCATAATCCAATGTAAAGTTTGATTTTACTGATTTCTGAAAATTGGCCAAATATGAAATGTGAAAAATGAATAATCTGTTAATAAATAATTCATTATTATTGAATGTAACAGTACTAATGCATGAGCTTCAAAAAGAAGAAAAAAACAGCGTTGGTTGATGAGTGTAAGTAGATGTATATTTACCTGTCAGTTAAATGTTACTGCAGTACAGGGACGTAAGATACGGAGTAATAATATACATCCCTGAGTAATATCAGAGTGAGCTTGTATAAAGGTCTTTAAGAGGTTTTTCTATGCCTGAACATGACGTTGACGTCATTGTACATGTTTTACTCGCCTCTTTGCATGTCGATCTTGAAAGTTGAACAGCGGCTCCCTTACACAGATGAAGATCAGCATCTTTCAAACCAGCTTCTTTCAGGCTTTGGTGAAGGGGAGAGTGCTGAAAGAATATTTTAAGTTTTAACTATGTAATCATCTGTAAATATTTAGTGTTACAAAAGAAGCTTACTACATGGATATGTACTTACTTCAAAAATAACATCTTCATCTTCGTCAGATACATCCATCTCCGGTTTAAGTATGTCTGTCCGTTCTTGGTTCTTATTCAACTAACCATTTCCGCTTCCGGTAAAATATTTGACTTATAAGAATATAAAGATGACGGGTTAGACGATTTACAGCATCAGGCAGAATTGGGCAGGATAAGCCAGAATCGGAAAACATCATTTTAAAGGGAAAATGAAGATGTGTTACATAAAACAACCGTACCTGTTTTAGTAACGCAAGACCGAAAGACGATTTACAGAATCAATTGTGTATTTAAGGCATTTTATTGTTTTGGAGAAACTGTGTGTGACCTTTGACCTTTTCTTCCACAAGAAATTGATTTTTATCATTATTTTTAAAGTCAACAATGATGACATCGTCTGTGATTTTCTTTATTACAAAACTAACATACTAATTGTTTGTCTGATTAGGGACCTAAATGTTATGTAGGTCTGCAATGTATTCACAATTTACAATAGCTGTGTAAAAGAAAAACATATCACATTAAGAAGACAAATGATTGGTGCATAAATAAAGAAAATACCAATATGTAAACAGAAATTTATTTCTAACTCAAAATTCAATTTAACTGGTGTAAAATACGAACAAATATTTACAAGGAGACTCCTGAAAATACTACAGGTAGAAAAAAAGGGTGTTCCCAAAGAATAAGCGTCTCCAGCTTCATTGACGACACCAGACATGTAAATCTTGGTCGATCAAAGTAAGTAATGTCACTTGAACATTGGAACCATTAGGTATACTAATGGGCATCAAGCATGTCTGACTTCGTATCATACAAGGAAATAGAATATTTCCCAATTCTGATCTTTATGCTAACTGTAAAACTTGATACCCATGTAATTTCAACAGCCTGCATCTCTTGAAACCTGGTGTTATGAGCTTGTCTGTCAGTTGCTAACACCTTGCATGAAAATTGTGATATCAGGAATTCCTTGAACATTGAAACAACTACAAAACATGTAACTACAAAACTATGTAACCATTACAGTCCTCTTGATAAAGTAATATCCTCCGAATATATTGACTTGCAGTTTGTGAAATATCTTAATTTTGAAATAAATTTCCGATAAATTTTGAAATATTTTGATAACTTGTATTGCATTTGGTATATCTTTCCTTTCTCTTTTACCACATGCAGTTCTTAAAGAAAATGCAAAGCAAGCCATCAAATGGTAAAGGAGCAAAGACCCAAGATGAATTTGAAGACAAACAGACAGCATCATCAAGACAAGAACCAGAAAATAGGAATAGACCAGACAGAATCTACAATGGACAATGAAGGCATTTTGGCAATCTCCTCAAAATTAATTGAGCCTGGATATGGCTTTCTTAATGGACAGAATCAGTTGTCACAAGCTGATGAACCCAAGCCAGAAAAAAGGTTTAGGAGAGACAACACAGCTCTAGTGAACAACTCGGGCGATGCAGCATTAAGGAAAACAAATCTTCACCTTTCAAACACAGAGAACATGCTAGATATAGAAAATGCTGATGAAGAGTTGACAAGTCTTCTTTCTTGGTGTCAAATTTCTTTCAAAGGCAACAGTTACATCTACATGTGTTCCAGGTTCACTGAAGACAAACCCTGTAGGTATGATGAGCTTGTGTCCTGTATTATCACAAATAGAAAGAATAGAAGACTACAACCAGGATGATGATATTGATTAATTCTTAAATAACAAAATTATTGACATGTAGCTTTACAGTAGTTTCAATTACCAAGAATAATGTCATTATGAGGACAGTGATTTACTAGGTATACTGTTAATCAAACATTGCTATGGAGAATCAGGATGGGTAGTTATGATTTCACCAGTGTTTCCATCATTGATCATTAAGTTGGGTTAATCACTGATACTTAACTGATTAATTAACACAGCATCTATTTATCTAATAGTGATACAATCAAATACTTTTCATCCTTTTGTTTTCTTAACTATTGTTTTATATTCATATGATAATCAGTTTCTACAAATCTAACACTGTGTACAACTGTGTAAATGGTATGCTGATCACAAAAGTGTCCGCTTGATATTAATAATAGTACCTGGTGATTAAGTCAGAAAAATAATTCT